TGTGAATATTTTCCCAATATTGATATCTATAATTTGGTGCGCTTAATTTTGATAGTTATAACCGGAAGTGTTTCCGCTGCTTTTGTTGACAAGCAACAAATGTCATCTGCTTTTGCATTCGAATTCGTTGTATTTCTTGCTAAAATTTGAATAAACTGACTGATTTTCCTGCATTTCTACACAATATAGAAAGTTGACTTCAAAAGAGTATCATTTATTTCTTGCTTTCGATACGTTCTTCTATAATATTTCGCATTTTAAAGTGTGACCCTTATGGAATTCTCAACACAGGATATGCAGGAGCATCTCCCATTATCATATCATAGACAATGTAATAAATTCGTAATTAACGCATGATAAACAATTACTGTAAAATAAGATAATGACATTTCTTAATTAGAACGAATGTGAGAATAATTGTTTATTATATCTTCTATTCACATGTCGCCAAGCTCTTATTAACTAATTAGTAATTATTAGAGGTAATGATGACGAGCCAACTTGAAGTTGAATTCCCGCCAAACAAACATTCTGTTACTATCTCTATGGTCACCTCCAGAAAACCATCACATAGAAGAACCAGTAGCTGCCTATTTATTTCACACTTCAGAATAATGAAACATGTTGTAGTTTTGGACTGTGAAACTGATTCCTGGCACTGATTTCGTACCTTAGATTGTTCTTTGGGGTAGTTGGGGTTTGTTTTTCATAATGACCTTGTGTGCTAATGGAACACTTTATTAATATCCCGTGAATTTTTTTTCGGAAATCTTGTTTTTTATTCACCAAAAAGGCGTTTCATTGTGTAGAAATATATCAGACGTGTGTTGGACTGTATATAAGGGTAGTCTGAGAGTGAGACCTCATAAAAAGACAACTATATATGATATATGACAGATTACTCAATTGGCTATCGAAGTCCAGACACCAATTTGGTCTCTTACTGACATTGATTTACTGCAAAGCGTCATGTTTATTCAATTCCGTATTATTTTTTGGAGTGATTAGAAATTATGAGAAATTACTAAATTAATGAGTTTATGATGAGTTAATAATCATGGAAGTTTGCTTGGCGACGCTCTAATTAACCAGTTGAGAGTGTCGACCCCGTAAATAAAAGATGGAGGTATCGTGTCAAAATGCATTATACAGTGAAAATAGTGAAAATAACAGAAAATAAAATATTGACGCATGTAGTTAACACTCTAAATAGTATAAAACAACAAAAATAATTAAACTTTCATTCAAATTCTAGCGAGAAATAGAGTGGAATAAAATGTATTTGCAGACGACACTTTAAGCGTGTCTTAATTCTGATACCAGGATTTATTAATATGAACATTACACACGTGCAAGAAGTGGGACCTATACGATATGTTTTTAATTTATGGGGCCCTTATCACCCTACACTTCACACGTTCATATATCCTTTCTTTTAAGGGACACGAGAGAGAAAGAAGAAAACAAACACAAAATTACAAGAAGTTAGAATCATATTTTCATGAAGTAGACATATTACATGATCATTATGATTATACCCAGGTTTTGAGAAAAACATCAAATGGGCCTCAACTTAAAACTGTTCGTAAGAAACAGGTTTTTAAACAATGGATATGGCCCGTGTTTAATCAATGTAATAAGCTTATGCATCTCCAAAATTGCCCATACTCGGTCGTATGCTATTTGAAACTATCTACATAAAAACTGTTTGATAAAACGAGAAAGTATCAACAAATTGTATATTTTCCAGACACATTTGATATAAAACCTTATTGTAATGTTTCTTTCGTAAACGTTTTAGCCGTTAATGATAAAGGCACCCCTATAAAAAACACCAGAAAATAAGTATGTAGATATATACAGTATATTTTAATAAACTGTTTGTGCTAATCAATCTAATATATCAAAAATTATTGCTTCTAAAACAGAAGATGAATCGCTTTATGAAAACGCACGTGTAACAGGTTGTTCCGCGAGATACGACCCGCAGATTGCGCAAATACAGTTTAGACGCAACCTTCCATTGAATTCTCGTTTATCATGCACGTTTTATGAATAAAAATGATCTAATTACATTAACGTTTAATGTGATGAGCAGTCTTGATAAATTAAATATCAAAAACTCAATATCGTCCATTTTGGATGTTTTGAAGATAGATTTTGCGTGTTGGTAATTTATTTTCTGCTTGGGACCCAATGCCACGAACATCCATTTCTCGCACACTTTAGTAATAATATTGATAAGCAGTAATATCCATTTCATAAAATATTAATCTTAATTGGTTGGATAAATGGAATTAGAGCTGGAATTGATGCTATCTTCAGTTATTTCGTTCAGTGTTATTTCAAAATCGCAATTCTTGTCTCCGAGATCGGGAAAAATAAATTTAATTACATTTGGCTTCAATGTGGATGGATTAAAATTATTTGACAAGAACATAATCTTTTTATTATTTAATACGGCGATAAACTAAATACCTGCATCACTACCTGGTGTTCGACCGGTGTGAAAGAAATGATGGTCCCCAGGGATTATGGTCCCCTTTCTTAACGGCCCTTACTGGCCCTGATTGCGTATAAGATAATGAGAGAAAGAGTTGTATTGAGGTCACCATATAAATCAATGGAGAGTAGGACCATAATTTGATGGGACCTCCTACCCTTTTACACCTGTGTAAAAGAAATTATGGTCCCCTGGCGATTATGGTCCCCTTTCCTTGCGGCCCTTACTGGCCCTGACTGTGTATAATAATAAGGAAAATAATTGTAATTAGGTCACCATATAAATCAATAGAGAGTAGGACCAAAATTCGATAGGACTACCTACCCTTTTACACCGGCAACAAACGGTAATTGTCCCTTGGATTAGATATTTATCGAGTTACATATTTATATCGAGTCATAGTTATATAGCTTAACTATGTATATTTCATGCATATATAATGGTTATACATGTAAAAAGGGGAATGAATGTAAACATACAAATTGCGATAATATAGCTACTATATTCTACATTCTCGACTAAATAATATACAATTATTCACACTGACTCCCCTCAAAAGTTTGGTCACGCCGAATCCCAATCGAATACCCTGTAAAAGCAAGTAATGTTTAATCCTCCACCTCAATTACAAAAGTTTAAAATTAAGGGATTTTGATGATTTTGTAATAAAAAATGTAAACAGTTTTTTACACATGGTCCAAAGAGTTTCCAAATTGTGTGGCGAGTATGTGGCTTAACATGAAAAAGCTTAGTCCACGGTGTAAATTATGTTTACACATAGTTTAAAAACAATTGAGAAAACCCGTTTTAAAAAGCATATTTTTTCTAACAAATGAAAGGAAAATTAACTGTAAAAAGATAATTAATTCAAGGTCCCTGGAGCGAGGGGCATGTTGCATTACCTATTACCCTTACAAAAAATTGTTAAATCAAAAACACTACTTTCTAAAAAGATAGTAAACAAAAGAAAAAATCCAATCCAAACAAAAAGTAAATCCAGTAATCGAAATGAGAAGTTAAATTGAGTAAAATTTCAGCTCAGTGTTGATGTTTTCTGATATAAGATTGTCACACCTTCGCGGATTATTTCTAAGGGATCTCCTCAAAATGATCGTTTAGCAAAGAAAATTGCCGATGTATCTATTATCTTTCTATTACGCTATTAGGTACCGTTAGATAGACAGTAACAGACACTAACAACTGCTACGAAGAATAAAAAGTTAACAATAAAACGATACCAGTATCTTATAAATACTTCTTTCGCATTTATCAGAGGATATATAGACAAATTATGCAAATATCATGGAGATAATATACTCTGTATCTATCAGGTATGTATCATGTAAATAGATCTTATGTTTTATTAAATTAACATTTATCAGATGGCAACGCATGTACATGATCGTATGGTATCAAATGTTTTGCTGTACGCTGGCGAGAGGATGGATGCATGTTTTTTCATTTAGGCTAAATGCTTTAAGAGAGATTGACATGGTTTTTAGGGGTTGTTGCATTTTCAAATGTTGCCCCTTGCACTCTTACATGATCGTCGGTTTTTAGCATTATGGGTAATACTTTTCATCCTCATCACTGCATCTTACCCATAATGCATGATTATGCTGCAGACGATCGTCGGTAGATATGTGTTGGATAGAGTAATTGTGGATAATATTTTCCATGGTTGGTTGTATGTATCATATGCTATTCTTACACCAATCGTCTCTATCATGATCAGGTAGCATGGCAACATAATTTTGATTTCTGATGTTTGTGAAACAACATCAATTTCCCGCCATTAAGCCTTAGAGGCGTGAAACACTCCCCACTTAAATAAACGGCGTTAGTTATTAGTCCCAATTTCGGATCATATTAAGTAACATGTAATTGATCAAAATATGTAACTTAATTAATTTAATTTGTCATTCGTCTGCAATTGATATGTAGATATCTCGATATTTATGATGCATATCACGGAGTGTAAAGAGTTCTAAAAGCGTATAACATCTGCGCGCAAATCAGCAAATGACTTAATCGAGAATGTTATGTTTTTTTTAAAAGAGTACATCGCAGTCACTTCAAAACTGAAAAATAAAAAGGACATGGATTGAAGTTGTCGTGTACGATTCTTCAAGAATAGTGCGCTCTTGCAATGATCTGCGAATAGTCCTCATTTTAGTGTAGTGCACACGAAATGTTTTGGGTTCTCTTGCATTGAACACAAAGATACAGGAAAAGTTCTAATGTAACGCGGACTAAACCCTATTCTATAATCAAGGTACAATACAAGGCATTTTGATGTCATGACACTCAAAAAATTCTTACTGACAAGAATGGTAGTATTACAGTATGAACTATCAAAGAACACTAGGCTTACTTCACTCCATTAAGGAACATTTATATTTCATAAAACACCAAAAAACGAGACGTCACGTCATGGTTTTATCCATGACGGATATTGACGGTGTGCAATAAAAAAGTAACATTTTGTGTTTTACAGAGACAGATATTCATAAGACACGTGACAATACAGAACCAGTAGCTCTTGGACTACTGATCAAGCCCCCTGCATATGGTCTTGGAAATCAACAAACAATGGAGCGTACAACAGGAAATGACGTCAGGGATGACCGCGCACACGTATCGTTGCCTAACGACACTTGGAAACGAGAAAGTGATGCGTCGTCATGGAAACTTGACGATTCGATAGTATCTCCAAGTCTCAGTCACACAAGTAGTGACACGAGTGGCGAATGTCAATGGTCGGGGCGTGGCGAGCGCGAGCCCGAGGCGTGCACGAGCGAGGGAGAGAGTGATATTGACCGAGACAATAACGGAGTGGAGTATAGTAAGCGCAAACAGCGCAGATACAGAACGACGTTCACTAGCTATCAACTAGAAGAGTTGGAGAGAGCTTTCCAGAAGACCCACTACCCCGACGTTTTCACACGGTAGGGCATTTAACATTATTTGAAATTTGGGGCATCATTATCTACAAATATTTTAAACACTTGGGCGTAGCTAAGATCCAAAACGAGAGCTGGTATAACATAAGCTGAAACGAATAATATTTCTCCAGAAACTTATACATGTATATATCTTCAGTGTTTTAGCTGAAAAATATGTCCTTAAAATTTGGGCGAGACCTCGTAACTAACTGGTTCTATCGAAAATCTGTGGATTTGGCCTTATCTTATGTCCGTTGTCTATCTCAGGGTCGATATTTTTCATACATTTATAGCAAAGTGTGTATTTTATTTCATTTGGGAAATTCTGCGAGCACCATCACGGCATGTTTCACAACTAAATGTAATTGTAACAGCTTGGCCTAATGACGGCGTGACAAGTGACATTAGGCTAACACAAAAAATATGTTTCACATCCAAGATCGAATGCATTATAACTGAATACACGAACGCACATTGGAAAGAAGGGTGACCTAAAAAGGCAACACATTTGTGAATATCTTGCTCAATTATTGTGATATTGTCTTATGTAGATAGAGTTTTCAGTGGTATATTAGTGATATAATTACAATTGCTCTTTGAGGGTCACTGTTTTACTACAGAAAACAATTATCCAAATCCGAAATAAACACCCTAATAAACTATAGACCAAAATCATTGGTTCAGATGAAACAAAGATTAAGTACTTAAGTTCTGAGAAACAATTACTTTTTATCTTGGCCTAAACTACGTATTTATATAAATTAAATATGTGTTGGGTCTGTTGACATCAATTAATTAAGTTGTTATATAAACCAAACACACTTGTTAATATGCACTTGTTTCGATGAACGGTCGGGACTAACTACCATGAAATTATTTATGTTTGTAATTGTTTTAGTAACCACATCTTCGTACTAACATAAAGTTCATGTTTATTAAGAGATATGACGTTAAAAGAAATATTAACAATAATATCATGGTATTGTTATAGCAACCGTTTTAATGACCGGGCGTTCAGCATTTGGCGTTCGACGTTTGTAAAAAAATTGTTACAAATTTGAAATTGCAACTTGGCGGTGACATGTTGATATTGTTGATGCCCTTTTCATTTATTGTGACGCCATAATTAAGTAATGGCCACATTGACCAAACTGTCCTTTTACTCCCGGGGGAGAAGCCTTAATTTTTTCCCGAAGGAGAGGGCTCTCAGCCAGGTTCTACCACTGTAGTCTGATTAATTAAAGGGTGGGAGACGAATCAGAAATTATCATATTTATGCCTGGAAACATAACTCTACCCAGCATCTCATAATTAAGTTCAATTAGTTCACCGTTATTTTCTCCTTTGAAGATAGATATTATCGCCTCGGGTTTGTTTGTGAATAACCATCTGTTTACAAAGAAATGGACACTGTTTTTAAGGTATCAATTGTTCTCCGTTTTCACTTTCAGACCTAATATTTCAAAAGTGCTATGTAAAATATTAATAAGTTTAGAGCTTGGGTGTGAGAGTGGATTGATATATCAGTTTAAAGCACAGCTTTAATATGGTGCACACGCTATTATGTTTAAAGCATTTATTTTAGAAACATTGGCAGAGCTAGCCTCTCATTTGCAGTACCCACAACACCACCCTCATGTCATATCATATATCATCATATCATATCATTTCATATCATATCATATTATCACATCATATCATTTTATATAATATCCTATCGCATCATGCCCGTAGCCAGGGGGCGCTGAGGAAATGGTCCTCCCCCGGCCGGAAATTCTTTCACAATCACGCAGTTCCACGCATGATTTTTTAGTTAAAACTGTCAAAAGCTCACCCTTATAGCAAAAGCTCCCTCCTTGACAAAAGCTGGCTTCGGTCAAGCATATCATATATCATAATTAATTTTCACTGATGTTCTTATATTTTCAGGGAAGAGTTAGCCATGCGGATTGATTTGACAGAAGCGAGAGTTCAGGTAAATAAAAAAGTTCACTTAAAATATATATTAACTTTTGCTTTTCAATAGTATTTCAGGAGTAAAGACGACGAAGAATTAAAAAGAACAAAAGTACAGTTTTTACATAGTTGCAATGTTGTTATTAGACAAAGTCCAGAGTAAAGTACATTCTTCATCAATCCATGATTATATAACTGTCAATCACGAAAAATGTTTACACTAGACGAAAAGGTCATACTAAAGTCACCCCGGGATACGACATGTGGTCAAGCCAAGGCTATCAATTCCATGCGTACACAATACAACAATTACCTAAATGCAAAACAATATTTAACTAATCAAGTTTAAATATTTTAAATACAATCAACATGTAACTCATTGAAATTTAAAAGCAATTTACGATGTAATTATCCCTTTTGGTTTAACCCGATGTTGATACTACGCGTTACATTCAGTAGTTTGTTAGTATTGCATACAATACGGACATAATACTCCCGTAATTTTATTCCAATATGTACACATCTTCTATTGTTCGGCACTAATTGATCGCTCGTTTCCAATTAATAAATAAACAAAGATTGTAGATATTGTTAAAGGTACCAAAATGTAACAATTGCAAAGAACTACAAAGCGGGCGTTCGGCGAAATAGCGATTTACGATCGATTCCCGCCCGTCAAATATCAACACACAAGTACACAGTCTTTGCTTACACAATATTGTTACTCGGACCATTCAATAAGTAAACCAAATAACCGTTCTTATTCCATAGTTAGCATGGTATTCATAGGATAACATGTGAAAATAAAAACGGTATTTTTGTAATCAGTGGTAAAATATGATATTTTTGACAAATTTTCACTTAACCATAGCATACGGTTTTTTAGCCATGACATACGACGTCGTATGCGATGGTTTATGGATTTTTGCTACTTCAGACTCAAAACGAGGCTAAGTGTCAACATCGCCGGATCGTTTGGAAAATTCTAATTAAATCACTTAATTTCCGACGATTCTGACGATGACTTTAACCATGGAATAAAAAGAACATCCTATGATTTACTCGTGATATGATTTTAATCCACTCATGGATATTGATATCTGCACTCTCTCGCTACGCTCGCTCGTGCAGATATCATATCCATTCGTGGATAAAAATCATATCACTCATAAATCATAGGATATCCTCTATATATCAGTGTTCATTATGGCTATTATACAAGTATCAACTTGTTCTAAACGTATATCACGAAGGGCAAACTCCCAGGAACAAAATTCCACATTTTTACAGCAATTCTTTGGTGGAAATCTTTTGAAAGGGTGATGATTTAACATTACTATTATCTCCCGAAGAAGGTTATTGTGTAATTATAGATATAGTATTTCTCAACAAACTACCCAATACTATATTCACACATTGATTAAAACCCATCGATACAAATCTGTTGATTGGCCGGTCGAATACTGGCTATAGCCACTCATAATTTATAATCAAAATGTATCATTGAATGATCAACATTTAACCTCAACAAAATAAAATCGTATTCATTACTATGTTACATGAAACTAGACCTCCTTTCTAGTTCCAAAATTCAAGCAAAAGAAGAAATATACAAGGACAAATACTAAAAATAAAATACAAAATATTATTTCAAAAGCAGAAGAGCGCATGCGTAATTCTTCAGAAAAACAAAAATCTTATAATACAATGTATCTTAGCAAACCATGATCTAGTTACGCAGACAGAAACTGTGTGTCTAGCTACCAACATTCCCAAATCAGGCAGTCTAGCTGCAATCTCCTGTGTCCCCCCCCCCTGCCCTACTTGACTACGCTTCTTCTCACACAGTTTGGGATGAGCAGTGGGGGCCACAAAGGCTTAGTAGCTAGCTAGAGTAAGCCTACACATCAGAAAATATTTGATCTAGTTCCGCAGACAGAAACGGTATGTCTAACAACACTCCCTCACCTCCATCAGGGTATACACTGCTTTTGTTCATTTTAGGTTTGGTTCCAAAACAGACGCGCAAAATGGCGTAAGAAGGAGAAAGTAGGACCGGCAGCTCACCCTTACAATCCTTACTCGTCCACATTAAGTCTCGCGGCCAGGAATATCATGCATCAACAGGCGCTGTACAACGACATGCTCGTTAAATCATACACAGGGCAAATTCAAGGACTGAACAATCCAAGGTTAGATTTGATGTCCCAACTGCCGTTAATGTCGCCATCTTTGCCAGGACTTGCCTCGCTTGGAGTCGGTGGATTACCGCCAAGTGGACTTCCGGGATTACGCCCGGGATTTTCCCCCGTGGTTCCCCCACCTGGATCGTTCCAGCACCTCCTTGCGAGTATGACTCAATCAGCCGCTAAGTCTCGGTTGCCGTTAACGCTCGAGACCTCAGAACAGAAAGACCCAGCGTCGCCAGAGACGTCGTCATCGTCACTGTCCCCAAAATCAGGGGATCCCGATAGACGATCTACGAGTATTGCGTCACTGCGTATGAAAGCAAGAGAACATGAAATACGATTGGAAATGACGAGAAAGTGTAACGGAATCGTCTATTGATAACATTAACACTAGAGGACATAGGGGCATTCTCGGCCATGGGGCATTCTCGATCATGGGGCATTCTCGGCCACGGGGCATTCCTGGACAAACCCTTGGTATCAGGTGAAAATCTGGGGCATTGTACGATTTTTTCACCACATCGATAATATAATGTGTCTAATTTGACGTTTCAATAATAAGAAACAATATAAAACAAAGAATTATTGAAGATCGTCCCACAATGCCCCCGTGTCAAAGATTAATACCCCTATGTCCTTTACTACTTTCAACATTATAATTGCCAAATCATGACCTGTTTTGCTCTATGTACTGGTAGAAATAGTCATAGCACCAACAAGAAATAATAATTCAACCTAAAATGCAGGACCTTTTGTTGTTCAAATGTTAGGCGATTTTCCATTCAAACAACATAAATAGTTTAAAAAGGAACATCAACAACTTTAATAATGAGATTATAAAGAACATGTTAAAACATAAGTACTATGTAAAATCAGTACTCAGCTATACACATTCGTACCATGTTAACATCAGTACTATGTATGATCAGTACTCAGCTGTAAACATTCGTACCATGTTAACATCAGTACTATGTAAAATCAGTACTCAGCTGTTCACATTCGTACCATGTTAACATCAGTACTATGTAAAATCTTGGAATAAATAGTATTCCAAGGTATAATGCATCAGTACTATGAAAAAAGAAGTACCATGTAAACATCGGTACCATGAAACTTTTTTGTCAGTCATAACATAAGTACCATGTAATCAATAGTACTTTGTAAACATAAGTATCGGGTAAACATCAGTACTAAGAAAAATACATAAGTACTTAGCCGTAAACATTAGTACCATGTCATGTGGAAATTAGTGCAATGTAGAATACATGTATTTCATTCATCTACGTAGCAAGTTAAAAACTTAAAACATATGTAAAAACTAATATATTCTATCGTACGTGATATTGTACATGATATATTGTATGTGATCTATTGTATATGTTTTATTGTACATGATCTATTGTATATACATAATGTAATTAAAATAATCAAATTGAGTGTATTGTACCAATCATACTAAAGGTGGTAATTAAATATTTTATACTATGTATATATGTGTAATAAAAGTATTTTGCAAAAGAAATATGCTGATTCGGTCAGGAATATCAACAGTTCAACAGTTGACGCATCAAAAACTGGCTAAACTGGTTGAAAAACAGTTATGTCAAGTTATCAATCTAAACTGGTTGAAAAACAGTTATGTCAAGTTATCAATCTTAAAAGCACTCTTAAAAATGAATTACTTGAGTATTTCCCAAGTATTTCCCAGTATAAAAATTACTTAAAGTTAAACACTTAGTTTTACTTCATTTTACTTAGGTTTAACTTATATTGTCATTTTGAGTTTTTAATTGCTTAATTATGTAAATGAGTATTACAATTACTACAGTAAGTATTTCAATTTCTCTCCTTGCATTAGTAAATTCACCATAAATGAATTACTTAAAAATTACTTTAAAATTATTCAGTAGTTCAAGATTATTTAAGTAATTTTTGACTTAAAATGAATAGTACAATTTCTCAATATAAGGAAATCCAAGTAATAATTTTTAAGAGTGAGTGTTTGGAATAAAAATTGAAACGTTTCAGCTATCTCGGGGTTTCTAGCAAGTAGTGTTTATAGAAACTCAATTATATATTTATAACAAATATTTATCATACAGTCTTATAATTTCATTGCCTTATTTAAAATGTGTATTAATATTTCATCTTGAGTATCGGAAATGATATTTCAATCCATTTATGTTGATACCATCTTTTTGAATCCAATAAGCGCTTATCTACCTTTGAGTAAAATCTATATTTTATGATCACGATTTAAAGTATAAATTCACTTGAAAAGGGAGGAATAAACAAGGAATTTAGTAAACGAGCAGGAAATGTACATGATGAATTGTGTAGAAATTGAGTATTGCATTGAGAAACTGGAGAGAAATTGCGTGGAATTTACATGACTAGCATGACATTTTAAGCAAGGGATAACTTTATTTGAGACACAGCTTGCTAAACATCATAAATGATTCAGTGAGATTTTTTATAACTTATTAGTAAAAGCATGGACTTTCTAAGCCTATCTGAAAAGCCCATGGTAGAAGCGATGTAGACTCAGAGCTCACATAAACAGAGCACGCAAAACATAGCTCACAAAAGGCTTACAATTGATGGCATATTTGATTCCTAGAGCTCACAAAACGTTTATAATTGATAGCACATTTGACTTTCAGAGCTCACAAAACGCTTACAATTGATGGCATATTTGATTCCCAGAGCTCACAAAACGCTTACAATTGATAGCACATTTGATTCCCAGAGCTCATAAAAACAGAGCTCACAAAAAGCTGACAATTGATGGCATATTTGATTCCCGTGTTTTTCTGTTGCTGTGCAATGTTCGTGCACGTATATTTATTCAAAATGTAAAATAGTGAGTATAAGGGTGTATGATCGATGATGTATTATTCAATATTTGATAAGTATGAATATTGAGATCTTGAATATTGTCATTTATAAATGGTCTTGCATCAAATCACTAAATCACCACCCACAACCTTTCCCCACATGTATATTTAGATTCCTTGAGTGTGCGGTGAACCAGTGTTTATTGTCCAAGTGTTAATTGTCCAAGTATTTATTGTCCGAGTTCCAATACATTTACATGGTGACCCACTTAGGCTTATAGATGGCAGCATAGACCTGGGATTTTAATCCCCGGGGCCCAAATTATCTTGATACAAGACTATTGAATATTTTAAATACACTAAGAATATTATAATGATTTACGTAACGTATATATACAGGGTGGGCCAAACGTAGTTTTGCCCCACCTTGCGTATATGAACAAAGATCTAGATTGTAGGCAAAAAATGATTGCGAATACTCATAAATAAATACAAATAATTATTTTCCTTTTAAAAACATGGGTTTTGTTATTGGATCAGTTGAATTCTTAATTCTTAATGTCTATGTCAATAATCTGCAAAAGTCTTACAAGACCATTTAGCGATGATAGAATTTGAATAGAATATAATTTATACCTTAACATTTAAAAATAGATCTATGGTTTGGTTTCAAATCATTTTAAAATTGAACGGATAAGATACACCTGTACACCGGTGGCGACTGTCAGGCCAACAGCGTTGACATCGCCACTGTTTTCCAGTAGTGTATATTTCATACAATAAGCCAAAAACAGTTCAATATACTTCCCAGAAGTAAATGTGCAGTATTTCACATTATCATTCTCCTCATTAAAACCCAACATTATGATTGGTTAATAACTGTTCTGTAATTAAATGATATCATATAAAGTCGAATGATTTATAATTAATTATAACAGAATTTAATACAAGGCAATAACATGCAAAATGTCACCACTTGCCATTTGTTACATACGCTATTTATTACACATGACAGTTGTTACAGACGCCAACCTCCGGACACCAACCGCCGAACACCGTCAACAAGAAAGTTACTTTTTATGACAGGGAATTCAATGCATACAACATCGATATCTATCTTCAATATTACTGCTATCATATTCTACTCATGTTTACAAATTATGGGATAAGCTTATCTTGTCACTTCCTGTTTCATATTATTTTAGTGTTTTTTTTCGATTTTTATTTCAATAATAGATGGCTAGCTACATGCACAAGTACACGTTTTAAACGTGTAATACGCTCAGGGAGATTGTTGTCATCTCTTCAAGTTTTTTTCCAATTATCAAATACCAATTGGTTTCCTGGAAGAAAACTAGGGTGAGCACAAAAATTGAATTAAAACACCAGAGTCGAATCTTCATGTAAATGTTTAAAAATTCCAGAGCTGTGGTTACCATGTTAATATTACGAAGGGAAGAACTAATCCTTGGGACGTACAAATTCTCTTAAAACGTGAAGCCCAACCTCCCTAGTAATTACCCACTTTGAACCATGTACCCTGTTATGCACCTGGTAGATTGATGAGAGAATCGCCAATTAGTGATTACAATTTACGTTTTGGATCTTTAATTTCAAATTGACGGCTAGATTCATTATACTAGCGTGGCCCCAAGTCGGTCGCTTGCTTATCTTGATTTCTATTATGACCAATTCAAGATCAGATAAGTAAAAAATACCGACTTGTGGCAAGGCTAATGCATTACATACTTTAAAATATAATTTTGTAAATGGGATAAGTATGTCACATTGAGCTGTTTTTGGCGAAATATTCTGCTACAGGTTTTTTGTGCACTCGAGAGTTTCTTCGTCAATACTTAAACTTCAATAGGTTGATGGGCAAACACTTATATCCAGTTATTTTCGGAATATGATAGCATGAAGGGTACTTCGATTTAAATCCGTTTTACACAGAATGTCAATACAGTTACTTTAATTTAACAATTTGAAATAGGCGATTACCAAAAATGTTCCTGAAATTAGAATGAAAATCAGATTTTTGTAATAATTTACAAATAAACTGAATTATTGTTCAAAAACACTTTAAACATTTTGGTCTGCCAATTATTGAATCTTTTACATCAAACTCTTTGGATATCATTTTTTCAGTTACAAAATTTTTGTAAGAGAATAGCAAATCTAATAAAGATCCAATTTCTCGGTCAATGAGTCAAAATTGAAACATTAAATATTGACCATTTAAATTATAATAGAACTTATCAAAATGAAACACAAATATAAGTAGACTGTGGTTTTTTCACTTTGTTATTTATGCGCTTATATTTCAAATTGAAAATCAGGTAAAAGTGAGTAAATATGTATACCATTACAATCTCAGACAGTGTATCATATTTAACTGAATGAACTGATTTAATATATAATACGGAGGATCTGTTACCCATAATGCATCATTCTTAGCAGACGGCAGTGTATCATATTTAACTGAATGAACTGAATTAATATCTTTAGGCGTCTTTGATTATTTACAAAATGACTACTTCAAGATGGGAGACTATAATAACATATTCAACAAGAATTAAAAATTCACTGGGATAGTGTTTAAAAATAAAGTTGAAAACAGAGCAATTTAAGTGAACAGGCATGTAGTCAATACTCTACATTCAGTATCTAGTACATAATATAAACGTCAGGTATTTTTATGCATTTAGATTACAAGACATGTTTTAGAAACGAAATTTAGTTATGACATTTATGTATTAGTATGTTACCTTGGTTTAAACTATTATTTGACTTCATGTCCCCAAACAAAAATTTGATAGGCATCTATCACAGAGCATCTGTTACCCATAACCCATAATGCATCATTCTTAGCAGACGGCAATGCAGTTCATACTTTCGGATTACATAACTTGTTTAACTTGTTGTTCTCTCTTGTTTAAGTTTGCATTTAAAACACGTGACACTGGACAGATCTCAATATTTACCTAACATAAAAACCTAAAGAGCAGGACTACAAAAAATATTGAGTATGACTTTTGTATTTCATTCTACATTCACAGACAAATTGTTATTATGTTTAATAACATGTTGTTTATTTTTAATAATATAATTTACATATCACAAATACATTCTACATATATTTGACAATATTTACAATATCTTACAAACTGGTCCCTGATCAATCAAGCAAAGTGTCTTGGTTGGTCTCTCCCTATAGACATTCACAGGTTCACATTTTAGTCAAATCAATTGATACTTATTTAACGAATTGTGTCAATTTCATCGACAATTTACAATACTATGTCTGTATTGGAACTGATAGGTCTGAGTTCAAATCAAGATGACAGGTCACCATATTGACAGGTCCCATTTCAGTACACATTTAGTAATTTACAGGTTTCTATTTAGCAAATATTGAGAAGTCCACATCCAGCCCATATTGACAGGTCCCAATTCAGTACATATTGACAGATCCCTGTTCAGCATAGATTGACAGGTCTCCACTTAATGCATAATAATGACAGGTTACAATTTAGTACATATTGACAGGTCCCCATTCAGCATAAATTGACATATCCCCATTGATCAATCACCATCTGATCTCATTAATATCATCTACAAGTGTCCAAATCCTTGAATAATTGACTGATCCCATTTTCAGTCGAGATGACCAGTTCTTCATCTATACAAATTGATGCGTCAAAACATTTCAAATTGACAGGTCCCTGATTTACACGACTCCCAGTCCAAAAAACAGTTTATTCAGGTTGACTTGGGAGTAGGCACTCTCTCTGAGCTTTCTGTCCACATGCTGTTTTAATTGTCTATAAGGCTCGCTGCAGTCTGAGAGAACTTTACTTGGAACATCTGGAATAGAAATTTAGAATTACATTTCTAATGAACGCTCAGTACATACTGACAGGTTCCCATTCAGCATAATTTGACAGGTTTCCATTTAATACATAATTTAGTTACAATTAAGCTCAAATTGACAGGTCCCTGATTTAAGGCTCGCTGCATTCTGAAAGAAGTTTACTTAAAAATTAGAATTACAGTATTACTAATTCAAGTACATTGGATGCTCAGGTTTTTTTCTTTTCAAATTAACTTAAATTTCCGACAACATTACACAAGAACACAAATGTGTACAAAATGTCCCCACCAATGGGTGATAATTTGAGGTCATAAAACATGTAAACATGTAAACGAGACTTTACAGACAAGATTTTAGGATGGAAAATCCAAAATGGCTGCCTTGACATTTACCCAGAATGTCAAAAAACTAATCTGTTCCTAGATTTTCATACTAAGAAGCATCCCTGAAAATATGACATTGATCTACCAAATGGTTCACCTGAAAACGCGTAGACAAGACTTTACAGACAAGATTTTAGGACAGAAAATCCAAAATGGCTGCCATGACATTTACACAGAATGCCAAAAAACTAATCAGATGTAGATTTTCACACTAAGAATCATCCCTGAAAATTTGAAATTGATCTACCAAACGGTTCACCTAAAAACGTGTAGACAAGACTTTACAGGCAAGATTTTAAGACAGAAAATCCAAAATGGCTGCCTTGACATTTATCCAGAATGCCAAAAAACTAATCAGATCTACATTTTCATACTAAGAATCATCCCTAAAAATTTGAAATTGATCTACAGAACGGTTCACCTGGAAATGCATAGACAAGACTTTACAGACAAGATTTTAGGACGGAAAATCCAAAATGGCTGCCTTGACATTTACCCAGAATGCCAAAAAACTAATCAGTTCTACATTTTCATACTAAGAATCATCTCTGAAAATTTGAAATTGATCTACCAAACGGTTCACCTGAAAACGCGTAGACAAGACTTTACAGACAAGATTTTAGGACGGAAAATCCAAAATGGCTGCCTTGACATTTACCCAGAATGCCAAAAAACAAATCAGATCTAGATTTTTATACTAAGAATCATCCCTGAAAATTTGAAATTGATCCACCAAACGGTTCACCTGAAAACACGTAGACAAGACTTCACAGACAAGATTTTAGGACGGAAAAATCCAAAATGGCCGACAATAAAAAAGTGATTATGTGTTTTTGCTGATTTCTTCTTACAAAATTATCACATATAACTACTGTTAACAATAAAATAGGCTTTTACAACAAAGTACATCTGAAATTATTTATAAAGCTACTAAATAGTTAAAGTATGAAAACTCAAAAACACCATTCAATATGATACAAAGTATTATCGTGCGCTAACTTTTCTTAAGACATTCAAAATGGCTGACATGACTGAGCTAACAGGTCCAAAACCTAATCAGATCTAGAATGAAGTGAGCGAGAAGATGTTAAAGTTTTAAAAGCAACTGTGAAGCCGTTTTTCTTAAAGTTTGCAGACAAGGATTTTAGCATTTGACTTCAAAATGGCCGACAGGAAGTAGGTATCGAGTTAATATTTTTTCATCCACATCTGTATGCACTCATAAGTTATCCCTGAAAATTTGAAGGTGATATCTGTAGCGGTTTTGGAGAAAACTCCCGGACGTACGGACAGACGGACGGACAGACGGACGGACGGACGGACGGACAGACAGACGGACGGACAGACAGACGGACGCGCCTAGGCCGACAATATGGCCCCACACTATGTGGTGGGGACATAATAAAGGATCGTGTTTTTGCAGAATGTTTTCAATAATTGGTTTAAGAGAAAAACATTGTTGAATTCAGTTCACCATATCGATACGTCCTATCCTTTCCATGAATACATCATTAGTCAGGAATATTTAGGTGAAAATATTTCAAAAATATATAGAAGCAATTTGAAGGTGGATTTCAAAACTTCATACCATTCTTTTGAAAACCTGAAGTGGCACCAAGCAATCCATTGACTTTTTCACCAAAAATTCAAGATGGCCGCCACGATGTATTGAAAAATCATAAAAATTGACTAAACTTGTAATTTAATAAGTCAAAATAGTTGTATACTGATCAAACATGACTAATAATAGTACCTATTAGATGTTCATATGCAGTTAAAGTCACTGGATCATTTTTGTATGAAAACTGGAGTCCCACAAGGCTCAATTTTATGTCCGCTACTTTTTTTGTCTAATGACTTGCATTGACCATGGCATTTGCACATAGCAGTGGATACTTATCCATTTCTGAAATGTAAGCACCCAGGACTACATTTCACCTTGCACCCATACTTGACAAATGCTTGGCATGCCTTGGCTGCTTTAGGAAGGGATGTCAATAGTGGCACCAGTAGAGACATGTCATACTTCCAGCCCCATGTTGTGAACTCCTATACCAATTTTAGATGGAGATTGTACAGTTGCCCCCAAACAAGTCCACCTTGGTTAGCAAGTTCTTAAGATTTTCTGAGCAAGGCTTCCTTTTGTTGGTGGTATTCTTTCAATGACTGTATGGCCGTCACAGAACATTAGCCTTCGTGCTGTATGATATCTATCTGGTTGCTGGTTCAATCATATAATAGAACAGTAAAACAGACTAGGGACTGAATGGTCTGAATTTACAAAACCAGGTTTGTTGTGAGCATTTGTGCCACTCTTTTGTAGAAAAGCTGGAGTAACTTCCTTGAACACATTCTATAGCTTGAAGGCAGATCCTTTGCTATGGCCAAAGATTGATGCAGTTAATATAATTTAATATCTGTAATTTTTGAGAGGTTCGAAGGCAATCCAGATTGACACTTATTGGGCCCTAATAATTATTATTATTATATCTTGGTTACCGCCATATTTGGCGAGCAATGCCTCATTGGTATTCCGTACTTTACATATTTTACACTCGAAGACAGAGCCAGAAACCCCTCCTTGGAGGAGCCCTGTGTTCTTTTGTGTGCACAGGTACACAGACATACAGGTACACACCACAGCCTTTTATACGAGTCATGAACCACTCAGTCAAACACCCAGAATTACATGACGCACACACAAACTTGTCTGAACCGGGAATCGAACCCGGGGGCAAGCGATATTGGTAACCTTGACTCTGAGGTCATCTGTTTTACATGAACAAAGAGTCTAGTGTCAACTTCTTCATGAGTACAAGGTCCAATCATTGCTGTATCTGGCAAGTGAGGAAATCACTGAACAGATTCCACAATAGTAGTTATCATTTGCTTGTCATTTACATCAACCTCAAAAATAGAGTTGGCCAGGAATGCTAACAGCTCAGTCTTGTTCTGGCCATTTCTTAGAAAGCCTAGACAATTCTTGGGCATCGGATTCTCTGCATAAACCATCCAGTGCCACGATGAATCCTTGTCAGGGACTTCCCACTGTTTTGTTGGTAGACATCCCAGATAGCATCTAATCTTGAAACACCTTCCATAAGCTGCCTTAACTTGGGATGAGACATTGGTAGCATATTCTTGGAAGTTGGTAGACACACCAGGACGCATCACATAGACCAGAAGGGCGCCATCTATTAAAATTGCATCTGCAGGTTTTTTCCAATACTTCAAATCCATCTGGCTTAGCTTCTCAACATTTAAGTAAGTCTGCTTCTTTGTAGGTCTCATGGCTCTGTGCTTAGCTAAGGATGGCCGGAACTCATGTTTTTCATGTTTGAAAAACTCAGACATGTCAACGTGTCTTGATTGGCATCCCGTCATCCCTAGCTATGCACAGAGCCATGTGACCTACGACAGACTTACTTAAATGTCTAGAAACTGGTCCTTTCATCCCAAGTTAAGGTAGCTTATGGAAGGTGTTCCTAGATGTTGTCTGGAATGTTTACCCACAAAACAGTGAGAAGTCCCTAACAAGGATTCATTGTGGCACTGGTGCTAGAAGGATAGTTTATGCAGAGAATCCGATGCCTAAGAATTGCCCAGCTTTTCTAATAATCAACGGAACAAGACTAGGCTGTTTGCATTCCTGGCCAACTCTATGTCTGAGTTTGATGTTAATGACAAGCAAATGATAACTTCTATTGGAGAATCTATTCAGTGCTTTCCTCAATTGCCAGATACAGCAATGATTGGACCTTGTACTCATGAAGAAACTGACACGAGACTCTTTGTTCATATAAAACATGACCTCAGAGGGTAAAAGACTTCACAATCAGAAGTTGAGATACTGATGTAGTTGCTTTTGCCATGGCTGCAGCATTTAAGGGCGCAATAAGTGTCAATCTGGATTGCCTTCGGACCTCTCAAAAATTACAGGTATTAAATTATATTATATTAGCTTCACCATTCTTTGGCCATAGCAAAAAATATGCCTTCAAGCTATGGAATGTGCTCATTGAAGTTACTCCAGCTTTTTTACAAGTGGTACAAATGGTTACAACAAACCTTGCTTTGTCAGTTCAGGCCATTCAGTCCCTAGAACACTTTACTGTGTTCTATTATACGATCGAACCAGCAACCAGATAGATATCAATACAGCACGAATGTTCTGTGATGGCCATAGAGTAGAATACCACCAACAAGAGGAAGCCTTGCTCAGAAAATCTTAAGAACTTGCTAACCAAGGTGGTATTGTTTGAGGGCAACTGTACAATCTCCATCTAAAATTGGTATAGGAGTTCACAACATGGGGCTGGAAGTATGACATGGCTCTACTGGTGCCACTATTCACATCCCTTCCTCAAGCAGCCAAGGCATGCCAGGCATTGGTCAAGTATGGGTGCAAGGTGAAATTTGGTCCTGGGTGCACACATTACAAAAATGGATAAGTATCCACTGCTATGTGCAAATGCCATGGTCAATGCAAATCATTAGACAAAAAAAGTAGCGGACATAAAATTGAGCCTTGTGGGACTCCAGTTTTCATACAAAAATTATCCAATGAATTTAAATCCATATGAACATCTAATAGGTACTATTATTAGTCATGTTTGATCAGTATACAACTATTTTGACTTATTAAATCACAACTTTAGTCAATTTTTATGATTTTTCGATAAATTGTGGCGGCCATCTTGGATTTTTGGTGAAAAAGTCAATGGATTGCTTGGTGCCACTTCAGGTTCTCAAAAGGATGGTATGAAGTTTTGAAATCCACCTTAAGATTGCTTCTATATATTTTTGAAATATTCTGTGAACTTATCTCCTATTCAAACCCGACTACATCTTGATTCACAAGATTTCAATTGCTTCAACTTTACCTACTCATACTCAATCACCAGGCGCCGGAAAAATGTGACCCAGGCATCAGTGATTCAACAAAGCAAAATGCTAATAGTGTTTTCAGAGTAAGATATCATGCCCATGTTTTTAATAACGTAAGTCAGAGTGCACTACATGTACTAAGACTTTTATATCATAATTCATCAATTATTAAAATGAAATCAATTAGAAACATTAATGTTGTCAACCAATTTATTACTTTATGCATGTACTTTATGCATGTACTCTGTGTACTTTATGGCTGTACTTTCTGTACGAAAGTGGATCCTTGCGCAATTAGTACTTTGAAAATTAGTACTATAGTTATAATATAATACTCTAATTGTAGTAAATAGTTGTGTTATTGATGCATTCAGAGTCTTGAATAAAAAAAAGTAATCTTGGTGAAATCTATTTTGAATATTGAAGACTCGTGAGTAAAAAGGAATATATATACATTTGTCAAACAATAATGGCCCTTTCATACTAGAACAAATCAGAGCTTTCTCTTTTTCATAGCAGTATAAATATTATATTCAATTGTTATTAACAGAGGCATTGATATGCCATTTTCAAGATTTCTCTGTTTCCTAATGGGTGGAAATGGATTTTCATTTTTCAGTGACCATTTGCTTTAGTGCTGGGAAGATGTCGTTTTAACATAAAGTGATGTCACAAAACTTACTTTTGTCTTTGTTGTAGTTACGGGCCTTCTCCAAGTCAAAGAGAAACTGGTAGTAGCTCAGTTGGATGTATAGATGGAAGTCTGTGTACTACAAATAAATACCCATAATGCATTGTATTAAACAGCAGACGGAAAATGATGCTCTGGGCATTTAATTGAAAGTAAGATAAAGGGAATTATTCCCTTTGAAAGAAATGTCCATGCATATTATTTCGAAGGTACTTACTATATGTAAGGGAATGGGGTTCGTTTTAAGTATGTCCTATATGCAATTTTATTTCTTGCTGACTTCTCTCTCTTTTCTTATCAAAATACTTTTTGAGAACAATCCTTTAAGAAATAGTTTGAGTTATTTTAATGCTCCTACTTTCTACTTTCTTGAAAATTGGCCTATGTCTTCCTATGACCTTATCTCTATGAAAAAGAAACTCAATTGTAGAAGACAAGGGGAAAATATAAGGAGAGAAGATAAGGAGAAACAAGAACACAAATGTGTACAAAATGTCCCCACCAAGTGGTGATCCCGTGAAATGGTTATCCTGAAAATGAGTAGACAAGACTTTACCAACACAATTTGAGGACGGAAAATCCAAAGTGGCCACCTTAAAATTTACCCAGAATGCCAAAAATTTAGTCAGTTCTAGATTTTCATACTAAGAACCACCCCTGAAAATTTGAAATTGATCCGTCACACAGTTAACCAGAAAACGTGTAAACAAGACTTTACAGACAAGATTTCAGGATGGAAAATCCAAAATGGCTGCCTTGACATTTACCCAGAATGTCAAAAAACTAATCTGTTTGTAGATTTTCATACTAAGAATCATCCCTGAAAATATGAAATTGATCTACCAAACGGTTCACCTGAAAACGGGTAGACAAGACTTTACAGACAAGATTTTAGGACAGAAAATCCAAAATGGCTGCCTTAACATTTACGCAGAATGCAAAAAAAGTAATCAGATGTAGATTTTCATACAAAGAATCATCCCTGAAAATTTGAAATTGATCTATCAAACTGTGCTCCTAAAAACGCGTAGACAAGACTTTACAGGCAAGATTTTAAGACGGAAAATCCAAAATGGCTGCCTTGACATTTACCCAGAATGCAAAAAAACTAATCAGTTCTAGATTTTCATACTAAGAATCATTCCTGAAAATTTGAAATTGATCTACAAAACGGTTCACCTGAAAACGAGTAGACAAGACTTTACAGACAAGATTTTAGGACGGAAAATCCAAAATGGCTGCCTTGACATTTACCCAGAATGCCAAAAAACTAATGAGATCTAGATTTTTATACTAAGAATCATCCCTGAAAATTTGAAATTGATCCACCAAACGGTTCACCTGAAAACGCGCAGACAAGACTTCACAGACAAGATTTTAGGACCGAAAAATCCAAAATGGCCGACAATAAAAAAGTCCTTATGAGTTTTTGCTGATTTCTTTTTACAAAATTATCACATATAACTACTGTTAACAATAAAGTAGGCTTTTACAGCAAAGTACATCTGAAATTATTTATAAAGCTACTAAATAGTTAAAGTATGAAAACTCAAAAACACCATTCAATATGATACAAAGTATTATCGCGCGCTAACTTTTCTTAAGACATTCAAAATGGCTGACATGACTGAGCTAGCAGGTCCAAAACCTAATCAGATCTAGAATGAAGTGAGCTGAACAAGATGTTAAAGTTTTAAAAGCAACTGTGAAGCAGTTTTTCTTAAAGTTTGCAGACAAGGATTTTAGCATTTGACTTCAAAATGGCCGACAGGAAGTAGGTATCGAGTTAATTTTTTTTCATCCACATCTGTATGCACTCATAAGTTATCCCTGAAAATTTGAAGGTGATATCTGTAGCGGTTTTGGAGAAAACTGCCGGACGTACGGACAGACAGACGGACAGACAGACGGACGCGCCTAGGCCGACAATATGGCCCCACACTATGTGGTGGGGACATAAAAAGGCGAGCAGGTCTGACTGTTTTGCTCTTCGTCTTAATCTCTCATGTGGGGCTCTATATGTTGTCAAGATCTCATAAACCTTATTTTTTATGACCCCTTCTACCTTATTCTAATTTAAAAGTGTCCCTCTAGTATTTTCTTTAAATCTACTTAATAAATATAAAACAAGATCATTATCAATTATTTTACAATTTGTATCTTGGTGGCCCTTCAAAGCCTGGGGCACAAACAGCTGCTTGAAAATCACCTGCACTTAAATTGTCCGTCTGCTCATGCTTATTTCACTCAATTTCTCTCTAAAATTTGAATAAAGTACCTGATTTTCTTGCATTTCTATATAATTTAGAGTATTATCCACATGTCTGATTAGTTTATTCCATGCTGATTCCACTCTTTTCCACTCTATTTTGAATTTCCAAAAGTGACCCTCATTAAATATTTGTTGAAGAGGCTTCTAATTTATAGGCTCATTACAGCAAGATTCAAGTTCCCTCCACTTAATTACAACACTACACCTGCAACAATCCCATCAGCCCCTACCTGACTTAAATATTTATCAGATCATGCTTATTTCATCATTTCTTCATAGTATTATATAAATAAATATCGGTTTAACTTTAATATAATTTGGAATATATACTTTTGTGTTCATAACATTTTTTGTTTAGTTTGCTTTTCAGTGTATTTTGGGTGGAAAAAGACAAACTGTCATATTTCAAATACTAAAATATGATTGGTTGGTCAGCAAATTATAATCCTGCCTTGCAATATGGGATCACACATCCTTTGTCATTAGATGGCAAATTCAAGAAGTCTCTACTTAATTACAGCCCCGTGGGCTAATTAATGGATATTATTAGATTAGCTTCAGATTTATAAAGTGGCAACAAATATTGCAACTCTTTATACAATAAATTATAAGCAATCAAATAACTCAATTTGATAAGAGGCTAATGATATATACTATGAGTAATTAAAGGTCAGGGTGCTTTAAAGAAACAAAATAAAAAATAGTTATTAGGGAGATATTGGGAAAGGGAAAGAGGCAATACTAAAGAGGTATTACTAAAGAGGTAATGTCAGTAAGATTGGATGATTTTGGTACCCCTTGATATTTTTAAATTGGAAGTCGAGTTCATGTTCATTTATATTTACTTATAAAGTAAAACTTATATCATCTACAAGTAAATGCCACTAAGACTGGCCAAAAGTGTCCAAATCAGCAGGTGTCCACACTAAGTTTTCTAAACTATGAGTCAAAGGGAGATAACAAATTTGGGACTGAGAAAAATTGTTAACATCGAGAGGTGTTCAGATTAGATAAGTGTTCCAACTCTTCTGCTAAAATTGTTGATTTGTTGTTTTTATGACAAAATTAATGTTTAGCTGGACAAAATTAATGTTTAGTAATTATAACTCAAATGCATATTTTTTACCTCTTCACTTAATTCCTACTGGCTAGTCATTCGGGCCTCTGGATATTACGATGATTTTAAAGTTTTGAAGCCATTACAATCTTAATGACCTTAAATTGAGCTCTAAGGACTTTTTTAAGAGTTTAAATGTAAATACATATTAGCTATTTATAGACAGAAAACACATTATGATCGGACATATGCGAGGTAAAAAATCATCTCTCTTTCAAAGAGTGTAGACAAAGTTCAGATTATTTAAGGGTAATTTACCTCTGGGTGCATGGTTGCCCTGTTACATGATGTGCACACAGGGTGACCTCTGTGGAATTGTAGTGAAACACGCCTGGTCCTTGCACCACACGCTGTATCTTCACATAGCAACCAACCCTGTAATAAAACAACAAGATGTACACACAGGGTGACCTTAACTACCAACTTCAGAAGCATAATCCCAAAAAATCATCTCCGATTCAATTCAACAATCTTGATCCTTTTTTATTGCTAATCACTTTTCAAATTGACTTACTCCTAAACTGCATGAAACAGCTATTTTCCCTATATTGAAATGGGACTAGATTGATTGCTGATAAAAACAATGTTCCAGTGTAAAAGTTTGTGATCAGGAATTCAGAACAGACAACAAATCATAGGAGTTTGTGAAACATAGAGAAAGAAAGAAAACCTATTTTCACTTATACAATGCTGAATCTTATCATTTGTAGGTCATCGCGTTCTTAATATTGAGATGTGAATCAAATTGAAAAATAATGACTCGCAGGATCCCTAATGCCTATACCTTTACCTTTACCTTTCCAATGGTATTTACATTGCATGTAACACAGGGACTTAACGGAAGACCATTGAGTTGAAAATTAATAACAAATATGTTGATTTTCATTAATTTTATATTCTACATGATGACTTCATCAATTTGTCAATCATTATCAACGATGAAGGTGCTAATTCTAGGCATGTAAAATAATTGTGATATTATAACTTGCATAACAAAAATTAATTAATAATAATAATAAAAAAAAAAACAGAAATTAAGTACCTCATAGTATTTCTTCATGCAGGCTCGTATTTCCCTTGTAAGCTTGTTGATGATTGGTTTGATTGTGTCGATGGGGCGTGACGGACAATCCTTATTGCTGCATCTTTCTAAGGACAATTCCACAGTGGAACCCTGACAATGTGAAGATTCTTCATATTTTAAAAGATGCATGAAAATCATTTATGAAAAATGCCCTAACATGACTCTATTATTAGATTTTTCATACATTACAGCAATATTGTCAAAATTTAAATAAACCATATTCTGTAGATACACTAAATTTGACGGATTGGAGGATTGACAAAATTTGCCAATTTTCAGATGTATTTTGGAAAATTCCCAAATCACTGAAACTAGACTAAGCTTTCACTTGTATAGTATTCCTATTTGGATTTCAGTGCTATATCAAGACTTACTGTAAGTTGTACACATGAATCTGAAATGCTTATTTACAGATCCACAATAAAACTTAACTCAGCCCGAATTCGCCAAATTAAATAGCCGCCAATATTTAAAATTGAGCAAATCCGCTTAATTAAGTAGCGTAAAATTAAGTGTATCTACGGTAGACAAAACAGAGCTCAACTGAATGCTTATGAAATTAAAATTATAAACTAATATCTGAGAGATGACAAGTATAGTACACAGAAATACGACTTGGGGCTGCACGCATCTTCCCAAAGGTTGATGCTATTATAAGAAATTGTGAATTTAATTTAAAAATTCACCTGTTTTATTGGCGTTTCCAAGGTAATAGGAGTCGAACATGCTGTACAATTAAAACAAAATGGCTGACAATTTTTGTATCGTTCCTCTTCACTTTCGGCACATCCCCCTAGCAACGCATCTTCCTCAGTGTTGCTATGTTGATTCATGGCATGACGATAACCCGCCGCGTCAAGTCCGAGACATTCCGCAATTCGGGCTGCGTCAGTGCCATCTATTGGGTCACATAATCGGGAAACAACAGGGTGGACTTGATGGGCAAGGTAATATTTTGTGTCTACAAAGAACATCATATTACAAATTTTACAATGTGTTTAAATGTTTTTTTAAAGAGCCAATTTGCCTGTATTAGCGGGGGATAATTTTTGGACCCCCTGATATTTTCTCATTAAAAAGTGTGAATCGTGTTTATTTATCTAAAGACCAACTTTCAGATTCTTATATAAGTGTTTATTTGATTGAACAACAAAAGTGAAGTATGTACATTATAAGAATTAATTTTTCATCTCATCATTAGACAATTACATATTATAAAATACAATATACAATATTATACCATACAAAATACAATATTATACTAAATAAAGGAAACTAGATTAACAAAGGGTCATTGCCTGTTAGTGGGGCCTGTTAGTGGGGACAGTTTTGGGACCCTGTGATATTTCTTCATTAAAAAAGTGTGAATTATGTTTATTTGACTAAAGACCAACTGCCAGATTCAGATTAATAGGTTACTTGTTTTGTTTATTGTAAGACAAAACTTTTATATGCATTATTTATTTTTCATCTTAAACAATTACATATTATACAATACAAAATACAATATTATACAATGGAAGCTACATTTTTAACAAGTGAGAAAGACTGTTCATTGTCACAATCTAAATAAACAAAGGGTCATTGCCTGTTAGTGGGGACAATTTTGGGACCCTGTGATATTTTCTCATCAGACAGTGTGAATTATGTTTATTTGACTAAAGACCAACTGCCAGATTCAGATTAATATGTTACATGTTTTTTTATTATTGTAAGACAAATCTAAAATGTGCATTCATCTCAAACAATTACATATTATACAATACAAAATACAATATTATACAAAGGAAACTAAATTTTCAACAAGTGAGAAAGACTGTTCGTTGTCACAACAATGATACTCTAATGCTCTGGATGTAAATGATCGAACTCACATGCCTTAACTGACAATTATGACTTGAAAAAAGCTAGCAAAAAAACTGCTGCTTTTATAGTTTGTGTATTTACAGTGATCAAAATAAAAGTAGATGAATTTTTTATTCCCTTTTATATTTAAAAAGATCCAAAGAGTCTGGCAACATAACTTTCTTGAAGCTGGAAAAGCTGCTTACCTATTTTCAAATGTTCAGATTTGGCTAGTTCATCTGGGTGATATGCCCTCTGTGTTGCAGCCTGGTTGCTACCATCCTAAAATATAAAGGTGTAGGTGTTATATAAGTTCGATTTTGCATGGCCTGGGGATGTCTTGATATTTTTCTAACATATGAAGGTACTATACATTCACCCAATTTTGTATGGCCTGGCCCACTAGGGAGCTCTTGTTACTTTTCCCAGGGGCCCAGTGATGAGTGGGCGGGGGAATGTTTTGAACAGGGCGGGTGATATGAACCAACAGGATTAAGCTCCATTTAATTAGATCCTGGGAAGACCACTGACATGAAACACTGTTGTAAACATCCAAGGGGTTCACTAGAATTTCTCACAACATGCTAAATAAATGAAAACAATAGGCAAAATTAATAGAACCCTTAATAGAAATCATAAATTTAACATGCAAAGGTTGAAAAGTCTCTAAAAACAACGGGATATTTTGTGAAAACAACTGGTGAAAATCGCCTGTTGCCTGCTGTTAATGACACCCTTGACATCCCATGTATTTTCATTTAACACTTACCTCACATATGAACATGTTAAATGGCAAAAGCTAAATCTTTTTGGCATATTCTAAAAGGATGAGTCTGGGAATGAGTCTGGGTATTGACTTGAAGTCTCTAAAAACGCCAGTTGCCTGCTGTTAATGACACCCTTGACATCCCATGTATTTTCATTTAACATTTACCTCACATATGACGTAGTACACGGTGTCACCTCCACGTAACTTTTTCCCGCCTTTTGAGTTGAGTCTCATTGCAACCTGAACATGAGGGAGACTCTTCTTATCTGGGTAGTCTTCAGGATTTTTTGTTAGTGCCTACAACAAAATACAAGGCATTAATATGTTTAATGTCATCACCTGCAATTTGTTATTTGTTAGTCTATATAGGATTTGGAAAGCTAAATCTTTTTGACATATTCTAAAATTTCCCTTCTCAAAGACTGATCAATAAATTGAGAATTGATTTTAGAATGAATGAAAAAATACGTGGTACGAAAATAAAAAATTGTAATATTTCTACAACATGTTACACAATGTTGACAGTCTGACAGATGGAGGGACCAACGGACAGACTAATGGACCCACGGACAGACACCTAGTCGGTCCCACTGTGTAAGCCAAAAAATGGGAGGGAACACTTATTCATACCTTGGTGATGTAAAATAATTCCATGTCAATCTTCCCTTCTGCCACTTGTTCCCCAACTTCCGTCAATTTTGCATGGATGTTCTCCAAGATGATGTCTTTGTTTTCCCCAGACAGAATCTGACTGACAACATAATTACCAGCATGCTTTGCGAGCTGGCACCAATCACGACGGACAATGTCCAAACCTTTCAACTCCTGGTTTGTGACATATTCGTTCCCGACTTTTGTCATGCATAGTGCAGCGTACTTTTTCTTTTTCAGAAGCAGCATTGATTTGAAGACGCCATCTATATCAATCTCCAGCAGTTTGTATAATTTATTTACTTCGCTCTTTACCTAAAAATTAAACAAAATACAAGGGATGAAAATTTGAGTCATTGCCTGAAATACAAATATGAGTAATAGAAAGAATTTGGGGGCTTAATCAAATATAAATGTATCAGTTTGACTAATGACAAGAGGCGTTGTTGGGGAAGGACTAAAAAAGTTCAATTTAGTCAAGCTAAACAGCAGTTTAATCTAAATGATAACTTTTTCAATGTTCAATGTCTTACAGAGAAATAGAAATCCTATGTTGTATCAAGTTTCACAAAAGATTGAATATTTTTGAAAGTGTTGGTAGGGAGTCATTTTGTTTTGTAATTTCCATTTATTTGGATATATCTCTCAAAGAGGTCAACTCATTGTATTGTTTAACCAAAACTTTTGGAATGAAACAAAATAATGACAAGGCATTAACATGCAAAGTGTCACTATTGGCCATTCATTACAGACACCAACAGCCGAAAACACAATCCATAAAAGAGTCAGATACTATATAACAAAATGTCACCACTTCTTGTGGGGATATAAAACAGTTTAAAATATTAAGAAAAATACAAGACTGAATAGAATTCTAATCAGACAATAATCCTATTTTTTACCTTGTTACCAAGTTTGAAAACCATTTCAATATCAGTAGAGTTTGTGTTGATCATGATGGAATCTGTGTCTCCGTATATGACATCTAGTCCCATCTTTTCTACCAGGTCTTTGGTCTGAAGCAAGATTTCTCTTCCACGACTTGTTACAAGAGCAGCCAAAGGTTTTGCATAGAATCTAATGAAGTAAACAAAACAGAATCATATTCTATGTTTCAAAGGTCTGATCTCATCTCATCTGTTCTACAAGGTCATCAAATCTTAAAATTAAGATTTTTTCCAGGCTCATAGCCAATATTTTCTCCTCGGTAACATTAATGAATTAAAACGTTTTTTTCCAATTGACATATAATATTTCTTTTTGTGTTGCCATCTTTGTGTCTATTTGAAACATTGAGTTGGTGTGATGCCATCTATAGAAAATAAGGTAAAGTTTTAACATGTTTGGAACATTTAAATTAATACTTTTACATAATTAGACTTGAATGTGTGCAATATTAACCAATCATGAGTACATCACATATATCCCATAATGCAATATTCAAGATGCAGACGGATGAAGGACATACCTTGAGAATGAGAATCCAAGACAACCAAACATACTGTTGGCAGTCAACTTAACCAATCATGAGTACATCACATGTATCCCATAATGCAATATCAAAGAAGCAGACGGATGAAGGACATACCTTGAGAATGAGAATCCTAGACAACCATACATACTGTTGGCAGTCAACTTGAGGGCTTTCTGCCTGATGTCATACTGGACATACAGATCTGGACTAATATTGGGCGTTTTCATAAGACCCTTCACCTGAAAGTATCCCATAATGCACTGTCAAAAAAGCAGACGGATATACATCCCTTTATGTAATGAATATGTTTTCCCATAATGTAATTTTTTATTAGGCAGATGGATATAACCCATATTTTTGAAACATAATATTTTACAAACATATGCATGTACTTTCCCAGAATGCAAATGTTCACATGTAAATGTTCAATATTCTAAATAATTTCCCGTACCTGTCTTCTACTCTCTACCAGTTTACGAATCTCAGTTGGAAGAATCCCTGGCTCTAAATCTGGGTCAGGCAGTTCTATTGATTCAACATCCTCCCCCTGAAACAATTCAACATGCAAGAATGTCATCAATGATATTTGACATTTGGTAAATATCATTGAGGAAATTCCAAAGACAAAACAAACTCCCACAAACCATTTGCCGAAAATTGAATACCTTTCAAAAGTGCGTAAAAGAAATCACATTCAAATTTGAAATAATAAATGAAAAAAAAGCCATAAATCCTACAACAAAAAACATACTTTCCAGACAACATTGGAAATTGAATTAAAATGCCTTATCATGCACCCAAAACACGATCATTTCTAAAAATGACAAAAAGCCGAGTATTTGGTTGCCTTTGGTCCTTAAAATAGCCCTACATTTAATCTAATTCTTACTTTTTCATCGCTACTCTTGATGGTCGTGAAGCAAATGTTATACTCCTGTATGATTGAAGGATAGAGGGAGTTGAAGTCAAGTAAGAGGATAAACGTATCGTAGAAACCTTTCTTCGGTTCAAGTACGAGACCACCGGAGTATGAAGGTTTTTTACGTCCTTTGGCAGCTGCAGGTTGTTGTTCTTCACCGTCCTCATTGGGTTCATTCTAGGCACATGAGTAAATCAATAAATATTAAAATTAAAAATCATCAAAATTCACAAGAACAAGAGGGTTCAGTGATTTGCTCAGTATTTAAATCATAAAGACTGGAGTTGAAAAATCAATGGTTGGTTTATTTTGATGAGAATTTCTTTCATGGATCAAAGTTTCAGGGGTAGGTGAGAAATCTGTGTCACACTATTACATTGATATACCACTGCATAACCAGCATGGACCCAGAATTACTTCCCTATTACTGATTTTGGAAAATAGCATGGCGACTGGTCAATAAATCAAATTTGACAGGTTAAGGCAAACGGACAATTAATATTAAAGGGCCTTACCTGTACAGGTTTCTTGCTCCATGTCTTATCAGGAACAATAAATCCTTTCTCAAAGAAAGCATGAAGCAGCAAGAATTCATTCCTCTCTGACCGGCCTCCTAACAGGGTTCGGCTCTGCAAATGAAATATATACAAATGCACACAAAAAGTATCAGTCTCATAGCAGGGTTCCACTTGAATATCTGCATAACAGGGTGTGTACGATATATATTATATATACAGCAGGGGTTTCATTAGCAGCAGGCAACAGGCGATTTTCACCAACTGTTTTCACAAAATCGCCTGTTGTTTTAAGGGACTTTTCAACTAATATTCTATGTTAAATCTATGATTTCCATTAATTCTGCCTGTTTTCATATATTTAGCCTGTTGTGAGAAATTCTAGTGTAAACCCCTGATACAGCCTCACTTTCACAATGTTTCAGATCTGCAAAATTGTTAACAATACATATGTGCAATCTCACCCTCATAACAGGGTTTGACTTGAAATATGCACATAACATGGTTTACTCTGAATACTACATATGTACATTGTATACAAACATCATTCTTTGAGGTTCTAATTTTATAAATAATGTAATTCAAAATCCCATTGACATAACGGGATTCATCAATTATTTCAGAAAATCACTCAAAAAATAAAAAACTTATGAGATATATGAACAGAACCCAAACAAGGCATCAACATGCTAAATGTCACCACCTGCCATTTGTTACAGATGCTGACTGCCGTACACTACACCATCCACAAAAATGTTGGAGATTGTAGTGCGGACATAAAAATCATTTCATTGCCTTACATTTTACTTAAAATATTTTTTCCCTTAAAGGCCCCATATAAAGTTTAAACCACTTTGGCTTATATTGTAGTCTTACCCAATGTTATCAAAGTGTGATATGTAAAACTTTTTTTTTAAATTTCAAAAAGTGGTTTTTGATAGACTTTTTGTTCCGAAATTTGTGAATTTATTTAAAACCAACTTTTAGAGGTCACTCATATCTTCTAATTAGCCACAATTCATACCAATGCATAGCATTCATCCTCCCATGTTTTTTGCCGAAAAAATTAAGAAAATCGGTTCATAAATAAGCGAGAAATGAACTTATTAGTGCATGAAAATGGTTCTGAGAAAAATGCATTTCAAAATTTTAGTTCTCATAGAAACCAATGGTACAATGAAATCTAAAACATAATTTATTCTTCCTTTTAACCTGGTTAGACAATCAACATTGTTTTTTATGAAAGTCTAGCATATTTAGGAAAGTTTGACATTGAAAAAAAAATTTCAATTTTTTTCAAAAAGTTTTTGGTACCTTAGTGACATCACTAATGTTTCAAAATATTTTTGATATGCTAAAACATTGAAGTGGCCCATTAAATATGGCATTTTATTATTGAAATAGTGTGTTCTTTGTTCAATCTTTGCATTGGTGTTAAAAAGATAATCTTTTTTGAAATGCATTAAGAAATATTTGATGATTAAGAAATTTCAACTTTTTTTGAAAAATGGCGGGAAATTTGAATATTTGAAAAATGAAATGCTCACAACTTTTTTTTCAAAAAATTTTTTTTGTTCAAAAATCTCTAAAATCACTTTTTAAGTCCTGACAAATAGTAAATGAATGATAAAAAAATATTTTCAAACTTTAGACGGGGACTTTAAAACAAACCAAAGGGACTCACTCACCATGACATTTCCACAGATGTTGGTGATTTGTAAGGCAAGAGGAAGGACCATAAGATCATAGAGAATACGCAAGATGTACGTTGAATCCACCAAGGTCAACTCAAGCAGCCGCAACACGCCAGCAGAGGTACTACAACAAACAGTCAAATATTAAAAAGCTGCCATACTAACGAGACAATAGATATTTCACATTAAAAATGGTCACCTTGTACATTGGCATATCGATTTTAAAATTTCTTTATATTTAACACTTGATTTGAATTTTACACTGGACATAGGTGTTACACTAATTTAAATAATACACTTAATTTGGAATTCAAAAAACACCTCAAGACTCACTTGAGTAAGGAAGGAATGTCTTCCATATCAATTTCTTCCCGTTTAGACTTCAATATATGGCTGACAAGCTCATTTAGATCATAGGCGCGACAGCGAATCAGCTCCTTCGATGAGATTTTCACGTCACACAATAGCCTCCCACATGTAACATTCTTGGTTCCGCCACCTCCTTTTCCTCCAGGTCCACCCTAGTAACAGAAAAACACACAAATATTTCATTTTTACCCTTTTTAAAACTAGACAACAGCAACGCCAAAGCGTAGCAAATCCCATCGAACAGCCATGGCTGGATTTTTTACGAACAAAGTAACAGAAAAAACACATAAATATTTCATTTTTACCCTTTTAAAAAATTCAAATGTTATTCACACAAGACTCCACAAATGTGAGAGTCTGCATGAAATGTACATTTAAATATGAACACCTCTGAAGAATGTGAACACTTTCAGTGTTCCTTTAGACACGTTGCATATTAATACTAAGAGTCAGAGCAGTTTTCAATATTGGTATCAATATCATTTTCCATTGTTATGTTATACAATTAATCAACTCAGAAATGACAATGACAATTACATTTTCATGTAATCATTTTAACATGTAGAAATATGGAGCTCCAGTAAAAGCATCCTCCTAAGCAGGTGTCCAGAATCCGTACCTCCTTCTTCCCCCCTGCTATAAACGATTTGGAAGCGCCCGATTTAATTGAATCACTTTATCTAATTATGCGCCGATGACGTATACATGATTGCTGTCGCAGTTTTGCGACAGCGAATCAAATTACGCATTCTTAATCGGTGAAATGCTAACTGCTTATAGCAGGGGGTAAAAAGAAAGATTTTGAAGTCCTGTGATTGGAGGATGCAGTAAAAGTAATAACAAAAAGTGTTTGTATTGGCAGGTACTCTCATTAACTTCTTGACTACCTGGAGTGACGAGATTTCCCATCACCTCAGAAAAGACCTCGAAACCTAGCATGAGGAGATAATCTGTCACAATTTTTTCCAATAAAGTTGCTCTTATTTGAATAAAGTTGCTCATATTTCAACAATTTTCATTCAATTTACATAAAAATTGTTTTAAAATGTGTAGAAATGATCTCTGTCGTCTAACCTTACTAAGTTGAGCATCTGAAGTTGTATAGGTATGTAGTAAATTGTCAAAGGTTGGCAATATTAAAATGAAAAATTGTCTGGTTTCAACTGACTTTAGAGCCTGGGATTCAAGAGGTTAAAGGCCCCATATAAGTTTAATATTTGAGAAATAAAAAGCTGACAACTTTTTTTCAAAAATCTTTAAAATAAGTCAAAAAATCAATAAAAAGTCATGAATAATAATAAATGAATGATAAAAACATACTTTCAAACTTTTTTAACATGGACGTCTATTACAGATTAAACCAGAACAACGGCAACGGCAACGCCAAAGCGTAGCGAATCCCATCGAACAGAAATCATCACTAGCCAAGTTGTCATCAGAAGAAGTATGGCCGACTACTCCCCAAAGTTTTATTAGACAATGTGGCATGCTTAAAGTATTCACATATCAAATATGAACAAAATCGCTCCACTAATTTACAAGTTATAGTAAAAAACATAAAAATGGTGGCCATTTTTCAAAATGGCCGCCTTATACCCAAAGTGTCATTAGACAGTGTGCCATGCTTATAGTATTCACATATAAAATATGAACAAAATCGCTCTTATACTTTGTGAGTTATAGTAAAAAATGTAAAATAACACACATAAAAATGGCGGCAATTTTCAAAATGGCTGCCTACTACCCGAAATGTCATTTGACATTGTGCCATGCTTAAAGTATTCACATACCAAATATGAACAAAATCGCTCCAATACTTTTTGACTTACAGTAAAAAATGTTAAATAACACACGTAAAAATGGCGGCCATTTTTCAAAATGGCCACCTACTACCCAAAATGTCATTAGACATTGTGCCATGCTTAAAGTATTCACATACCAAATATGAACAAAATCGCTCCAATACTTTTTGACTTACAGTAAAAAATGTTAAATAACACACGTAAAAATGTCATTAGACATTGTGCCATGCTTAAGTTATTCACATACCAAATATGAACAAAATCGCTCCACTACTTTTCAAGTTACAGCAAAAATTGTAAAATGACATGCAAAGGCAGCCATTTTTCAAGATGGCTGCCATGTATTTCTTCTATATTTACATTTCTAGCTTAATCAATGTTTAATATAACTTTTTTACATTAAAAACATATTGCTATTACAGTTTTATATGCAGTACCTAAATTACTGTAAAATCGGCACTAAAATGGCCGCCATTTTTTTGAGCGGCCATTTTGAAAATCGGTTTTCGAGCAGAACTTCTACCCCCATTGGGTATATGTATACAAAATATGAACAAAATCGGGCCAGCGGTATTTGAGTTATTGCCCGGACGGACGGACGTACGTACAGACGGACGGACGGACGTACGTACGTACGGACGGACGTACGTACGTACGGACGGACGGAGGCGTTCCCTATATCCCTCCGAACTTCGTTCGATGGGATAATAATTAGACAAAAAAGCATTAGTATAGAGTGTGTTCAGATAAGAATGAAATTCAGATACACAGGTTCTACAGTTTAAATTTTATTGCTTCATACTGAAACTATACTACAATCCATAATTTTTAATAAACCTGCTGAAGATTCTGAAAGCCGATTTAATCGGACTTAGCATGCACAGGTATGATGTCAAAGCCGATTAAATCGGACTTAGCACTGATGGGGTTAACTTACCATGTTTATAAAGGGAAAAAAACATATGGCTAACCCTTGAATAAAAAGATATGGTAGCCATGCAATTTCACATTTTATCTCTCTAAAATTCAATTAACCGTTCAATTTTCTTGCATTTCTTTACAATTTAGGATGTTGACGTCAAGCCTGTTTGCTTAATTTATTAATTTTTTTCTTTATTTGAATTTTAAAAACATAAACTAGTACAAGTTATGTTTTACTGCTGGGGAAAGAATAAACTCAAAACAATAAAAATATTTAGACTGCTTACACGTAGAATAAATGTTAGAACATATTTGAAAAGATATCTACATTGTTCAAAGCTTAATTAACAGTAAAAAGGAAATCAAAGTTGAAAAAATGAAATCATATTTAAATGTGTTTATAATGAAGATGATAATTATAGCTGTGCTTTGTTTCGTTGTGTTATTTGGAACTTTTAAACTTGGAACAAACTTCCCAGTTTTAATTAGTTATCGTAATGATGGATTTGATCTAAATGATCTTAGAGCTCAAATGGATATTGAAATATTAAGAAAATACTGGCTGATTCCTCCGAGTGTCAACATTGAACCAAACATGAATGATCATGATTTTTCTCAAGTTGGCCAATCAAAAGTTGTCGATAAAATCCTAAATGGAAAAACAAATGGAATATACATTGAATGTGGCGCATCAGATGGACATATATCAAATACGGAATATTTTGAAAATTACCGCAACTGGATTGGTTTACTAGTAGAACCGACGCCTGAGTTTGAAGGGATTTTAAAACACGACAGAAATGCCTGGCTTCTAAATGCATGTATTGGTATTAATCAACAAATTCAACAAAGCATAATCCAGCTTGGACCAATGAATTGGGGATGGTCAGGTCTACAGGACGCAATATTACCACGTAACATTAAAAAAGCAAAAGAGAATAAAACATCAAAAATCATCGTACAATGTTTTCCATTTTCGACAATACTAAAAGCCCTGAATTGGACAACTATAGACTATTTTTCATTAGATGTAGAGGGCGCTGAAGAAGCTATACTAGAGACGATTCCGTTTGATGATGTCCATATAAGGGTATTTACAATAGAATTTTCAGGGTCAGGTAGTAAACAAGAAGACGCTTTTAAGTTGGATAGAATGCGGCAATTTTTCACCCAGCGTAATTACACAGAGTGGGGTGTACTTGGCAAGGACGGTAGTTTCCCTCTTGGACTTGATGTTGTATTTCATAAGCTGTAATATTGTATTTTATAACATATCATGTTGTATTTTATTCTTTTTCTTTTATTCTTTATTCCTACCCACACTTGTGAGTATAAAATAGTACATATACATACAATGATAATACAGTTTAGTTTAATTCACTACCACCAATAATCTTCATCAATTTACTTAATTGCACAGAATATTTAATATTTGACAACAAACTTTTAAATTTTAACATATTTGGTTGTCTAATGAAGTAGCTATCAAGGAGTGTTAGTCTCTCATCTTCAAAAAGTTTACATTCTAAAATATAATGGTATTCATCTCCTAGTCTGTTGCATTTGGTACACAATCTCTCTAACCTTGGTCTTTTTATGTATCTCCCTGTTTCTATAGGAAGATTATGATTTGAAGTTCTAAGTTTTGTTATATATAATCTAGTGCTTATTGGTTGACATAAATAGGGTTCAAAAATAAGTTTGTTCTTAATGTTACAATATGTAAAATATGAAGTTTTAGATTTATCTAAGTCTGATAGTCATTGCTGTAGGAATTGATTTTTTAGTTTCCTCTTCACCATATGTTTCAATGCATCCCTTGATATAAACTCTTGTCTATTCCAAATATATGAAAATCCACAGTCATTTAAAAATTTTTCTACTGTACTTAACCATGGTGAGCTGTATATACCCCTTATATGTAATTGAAGCATAGGTTTATAAATGGAACTACTTGTTGCTTTACTTTGTATCAATTTACCCCAAAAATTTAAAACAAAACAAACAAAATGTTGTATTTTATAAGATATAATGTCGTATTTTATAAGATATAATGCTATTTATGTTTATCACGCGCACATGTTTACCAAAGCTTTGTTGCACAAAACATCTGTTTTGCCTGTTATTAAATTTATTAAAATATAATAATAATATTATGTAACATATATATAATATTACATAACAGTGTGTGCAAGTTTCATAAGACATGATGTTATGTTTAATAGTTATACATATTGTATAATGTTGAATGTATCAAGTCATTATTGTTTCTTAAAAACATTATTAATATTAAACACAATGTCAAATTTTAGAATTTGTTTTATACTTTATACCATTTGATGACATATCTCATTATACATTATAATGTCAAGTTTGGTGCAATCTTAATATTATGCAGTTTGCCGATTCCACACTTTTCCATGTTTTTGGTAACTTAAAGATATAACTATCACTCATACTTCATATAGTTTACGAATGATGCCCTGAATTGTGAACAGTTAAGGAAAAGTAGTTAATTCTGTTATGGGAAAGGGTAAATTATGATCTTGGCCCGCCTAAGAAAATCAACATTATAAACTTTTGTTTTTGAATTAGCCTTGTAGTTCAGTACAAAATTCATATTTTGGAAAATCATGTATGTTTTAGATTCAGACAAAATATATTGAATTTGGTTCATCATTGCTGCAATAAACAAATCGATAACTGACTTTTTATTACCTGTAAATAGGACAGCTATAATGACATAAATGGTCATAGATGTCAAAGTTGATGTCAAAGGTTGATGTCAAAGGTTGATGTCAAGTGTTGCAGGCTTTAATTTGTCTGCTTTAAGCTGTAATTATTTCACTTATGTCATGTGGAAAAACCATTGCTTTTGCGATAAACCCTTTTCTGCTCAGAATTATTTTAGAAATTAGAAAATAGGGAATTTTGTTACAATAAGGACTTATATCACTAAAACATCATGTCAGACACAAAAGGGTCAGAATTATTGCAATAAAATTGAAAAATATTTAATCATTTCAAATTATTAACCAAAATTACAGCAAAAAAAGATTTAAATCCCAGGAACTCTCCCTGACATAAAGATAGCAATCTGGCAAAATGAGTGATCTGCCCTTTACAAATTGTAATTCGAGTTTAAATTTTTTTCAAATTACTTTCACATTTTGGATTCAATATTCAAATGTTTATCTTTGATAAAGTATTGATATTATAAACATTTTCCAAAATTCATCTTTTTTGAATGCACAACTTATTTTTGGAATTAACTTAGTATCATGATTATGAAAGCAGAGAGTACAGCATATAGACAGTAACAAGGCATTAACATGACAAAATGTCACCACCTAAAAACAATTTGGTCAATTTAAAGCAAGTTGGAAAATACCTTTTGACCTTGAGAAGGTCATTGAAGGTCAAAGGTCAAATCTAAAGTCAGATTTGAACTTCTGAGAACTTGTAAAGTCAAATTTGAACTTCTGAAAAGATGTAGATGATTTTGAAAAAAAAATCTGGTCAATTTGAAACAAGTTGAAAACAGACCTTTTTTGACCTTGAGAAGGTCATTAAAGGTCAAATGTCAAATCTAAAGTCAGATTTGAATTTCTGAGAACACGTAGATGATTTTGAAAAAAAAAATTAGTCAATTTGAAGCAAGTTGAAAAAATACCTTTTTGAATTTTTTTGACCTTGAGAAGGTCATTGAAGGTCAAATCTAAAGTCAAATCTAAAGTCATATTTGAATTTCTGAGAACATGTTGATGATTTTGAAAAAAAATTTTGTCAATTTGAAGCAAGATGAAAAAATACCTTTTTGACCTTTTTTGGCATTGAGAAGGTCATTGAAGGTCAAATGTCAAATCTAAAGTCAGATTTGAATTTCTGAGAACATGTAGATGATTTTGAAAAAAAAATTTAGTCAATTTGAAGCAAGTTGAAAAAAGACCTTTTTGACCTTTTTTGACTTTGAGAAGGTCATTGAAGGTCAAATGTCAAATCTAAAGTCAGATTTGAATTTCTGAGAACATGTAGATGATTTTGAAAAAAAAATTTAGTCAACTTGAAGCAAGTTGAAAAAAGACCTTTTTGACCTTTTTTGACTTTGAGAAGGTCATTGAAGGTCAAATGTCAAATCTAAAGTCAGATTTGAATTTCTGAGAACACGTAGATGATTTTGAAAATTTTTTTTAGTCAATTTGAAGCAAGTTGAAAACAGACCTTTTTTGACCTCGAGAAGGTCATTGAAGGTCAAATGTCAAATCTTAAGTCAAATCTTAAGTCAGATTTGAATTTCTGAGAACACGTAGATGATTTTGAAAAAAACTTTTAGTCAATTTGAAGCAAGTTGAAAACAGACCTTTTTGACCTTTTTTGACCTTGAGAAGGTCATTGAAGGTCAAATGTCAAATCTAAAGTCAGATTTGAAGGTCAAATCTAAAGTCAAATCTAAATTCAGATTTGAATTTCTGACAACATGTAGATGATTTTGAAAAAAATTTAGTCAATGTGAAGCAAGTTGAAAAAAGACCTTTTTGACCTTGAGAAGGTCATTGAAGGTCAAATGTCAAATCTAAAGTCAGATTTGAACTTCTGAGAACATGTAGATGATTTAGAAAAAAATTGAAGTCAGTCTAAACAGTATTTGTTAAGTTATAGGAAGTTGTAAGAAGAAATTGTTACAGACGCCGGACGCCAACCTCCAACCTCCAACCGCCAACCTCCAACCACCAACCGCCGTCACAAAAAAACGGAGACCATAACAATATGTCACCACTTTTGGTGGTGACATAACAAAAAAACGGAGACCATAACAATATGTCACCACTTTTGGTGGTGACATAATAAAACTTGAGAGTGTATCACACTTTAAAATGTTCAGCATACAGATGAGAGAGAAATAACATCAAAAACAGAAAATTGAACATTATGTATGTTACACATACATTTATCATAAAATTATCAAACAACCCAATGTTATTGATAAGACTTCAGTTCATCACATGTATGTTTGCAATTTATAATGCTATCCAGCTCACCAGCTGTAATTTTTTTTAATTTTCTCACCTTTTACATACATAAAGAGTTACATTTATTGTATACAATGTATTGATAAGAACCTTATCTTTCATTTGTCCCAACCGCAGCTCAAATGGACCACATTAAAGCTTACAATAAATTATCAAAAGCTGTCAAGCTTTCTATATCAAGTTTTTATCAATATCATTGAAAGATGGCGAAATTGTTTGTATTACATGATACATGTACATTCATTTTTATTTTTTTATAGAAGTGACGCCATCTTTAAAATCAAAAGGACATTTAAAACATGCACTTTGTTTTGCATGTGCATGCATGTCTAATGATCTCTGAACTTCAAATGCTTTTTTCTATGCAAGTTATTTTTTCTTGGTTCAATATTAAACCTGCACATCGCTCCAAAACGCAATATGTTGACATATTGTTTTTACATTTTCAAGCTCTAATATAAAGTTCATGTAAATAAAAATTGTTTTTCTGCGTAATATCAAAGAACAATCATTTAGTTAAAAAAAAAAGTTAGTGCAGGATTCGAACCCGGGCTCCCTGCGTGCTGAGCGAGCATTCTACCACAAGGCCACCGAGATATTATGAATGACAAGTGTAATTAAACGCTACTTATGTTGAATGCTATAATTCGGAAGTGACGTCACATTCTTAATTTAGAAACCTTTCCAAAATCTTATCGTCGTCACCAATCGAAGCAATTCAATGAACAATCTGTGAAATGACACATTTATCATAAGTTTGTATAAACACGATTTGCCCCATTTATTCATCATTCTATAATCTTTCATTAAGGTCAAAATGATAAAGTTCACCCCCTAAACAACCCAAGATTGCATTTCAGGGCAAACAGCAGCTTTAAAGCAAATCAAACTTTGTTTCATATTTGAGCAAGTGTGTCAGTAATATGTTTCAATGACAATTTTTTTCTTTTTTCTTCTGAATTAAGTATAAGTAGTGGGCCTTTAATATAAAATACAGCGCAAATTTCAAGAAAAGTTTTTTTACTCACAATTTTTGGCATGATTTGTCTTTTCAATCTGCCGAGTTTTGACCAGTTTGGTATTTTATTTGCACTTATCCTCTGTAGCAGAACTTCCAGCTCAAATCCAAATATATCATGACCCTGAAAATGAAATAAGTTAGATCCATTCTCGTTTCCCAGAAAGCAAAAATTGGCAGCTGTCTTCAATAAAAATCTGTTTTTGTTTCAAAAACAGTCGTTGTGTTTTAATAATGCTGCTTAAAAGATTTGTTGACAGAAATGTTAAAATACATATTTATAAAATGCAGTGGAGTCTGAACAATTCAAGTAATTCAACAATTAAATGTCAGAATTAGTAGCTTTCAATTCATATCTAAATAATGGCATCAATGAAGGATTGTCTTTATTACCCATAATGCAATTTTACAAGCAGACGACACAAAAACTTACCACTATGACATCAGGGTCGATCTTATGAATCTTAGCCAATAAGAAAGCGAGTAACATCCTCTCGTTTTGACAAAGTTCTGTTGTCAGACGCCCTTTCTGGGCTTTCAAACGATCTTTCAAATCAAAGGGGAAAATTCCATCAGATGGTCTAGTCATGGCCGAGAAGTGTTGTGTGAAGGCTGGCTTTGGAGCCGGTTTATCTATCTGGAAATTTGGCTGAATAAGCCCTGTAGCTGCAATAATCTGAAGACACAACAAGATTAATTTTCAGTAAGCTAAAAATCTAAGGGGAAAATTCCGTCACATGGTCTAAATCATGACTGATAAGTGTTGTGCGAATGCCAGTTTTGGAGCTGGTTAGTTCTACATGTATATAAACAATTTTTATGTCGTAACTTCAAACATCAAATCAGATCTAGTCATCACAGGCTGTGGTGCAGGTTATATGATATATGATGTACATACCTCATTTTGATGTGTCTTTTTATTGGTCATAGTTCGGAGATTCAACGTCATAACGACCAATGGCGGTATAGCGGGAGGATTGGGTGTAACACTGATATACACTGGTTTTGCAATTGTCGCCTCAACCTTTGACCAGCTTATAGAGGGCGATGAAAGTTGCGGAAGTTTGACGTCAATCCAGCCGGGACCTTTCATTTTACGATCGAGAAGCAGGAGTTCAAGACTAGATGTGTTTGTACCAAATACGCAGGAGAACGTCTCGCCTGACAAATCTGCTGGAAGTTTCCCGAGGTCTGCCTAAAGTAAACAATGAAACTTTATTTTTATTTTTTGTGCACACTAGTTGTCAAAGTAGCCTCTTCAAGAGCCTAAAGCCACATAAGGAGACTATATCAGTGGTGGAGGAGGTTAAGCTGGGGTGGATATGGGGGGTGGGGGGGTAAGGACAAAGTCTTTCACATACTGAACTTAACATCTAGTAATATTCAAACAAACATTTTCAAAATATATTTAAGAAATGCTCATGATACTTTTTAATTGTGTTTGATAACTTACAGCATATCGGACTTCTAGATAGTCTGACTCTACTGGAACACCAGCCTTCTCAAATGCGTATTGCCTCGTCACTTTCTGAATAAAACAAAGTGTACAAATTAACATAAATGTCATCATATGATCTCAAATGCATATTACCTTGTGCTTTTCTGAATAAAACAAAATTACAATTTAAAATAAATGATCTCAAGAATGATCTTAAGTGATCTCAAATGCATAGTGATTTGGAACTTCTGAAATTTGAAAAATAACAAATTGCCAGAAAACTAATTGCAAATGCAATTTTGATTTGGAATACTTTCTATGTTTAAAATGTTGGTATGAAGTCATATCTGTCACCCTTTTCAATATAAAAGAAACACCAACAATGTTGCAAAATCATCAAAATTATCCCCTTAATCATAATTTTACCTATACAATTAAACTTAGAAAGTTTTCTTTATTCAACTTCGACATAGTAATCTTGGTACACTTACCATTGATTTAAACTTGGTGATTTTATACTTCTCAGTTACATTTTCGTTGAACTCATTATAAACATCCATCATCTTAATAGGAGTCCCCATATCTTCGCCATCTTTTCTGCTTACGCGCTAAATCATGACAAGAAAATAATTACTATTACATCATGACAAAAAATTGTTAAATATTAGGAGCAATACTGATTTGAAATTCATATTCCAAAAAGGAAACAAGCAGGCAGCCGGAAACTCAATTTCTACATCGATTATGAAACATTTTTAAATGCAAAGGAGGGCGAGTTGTTTGTAGAATGAATCGGGGGATTTTTTTCATGAATTTCGCTTATGTTTTTCATCCAAAAAACATCAATACACTTTAAAACATTTTGTTTACTTTAAGATTACACCATGTAATCCAAAAATATATTTCTCGTTTTCAAAGATAATCCATGGATTAACACCCAGGTATTTTTATTTTTCAAACTTCAGAGGGCTGGGAATCATTGATGCTCAACGCTTTTGAATATGATAAATGCTGTTTTAAATAGGTTTTACGTATGCCATTAATTTCTCAAATTATGTAAGCTGAATGCGCCCTAGAATATTCTCTTGGAGGAATCCAATGGTAATCCAATGGTAGTTCCATGCAGATTTTTAGATGGCAGGTAAGTAAATTCTTTAGTACTCGCCTTATTGGGTTGAGTTAGTTTATATTCAAAAATTATATATGATTCTGTAAAGATGTCAGTGTGGATGCTATATAGATTGCACACGTATGGTAAGCTGTATAATCCTATATTATGTAACACGAGTACAGTTTTGGTTGACATGATTGTGACTGAGTGAGAGATTAAACTCTTTAAGGTAGTTCTGCATGTTGAAAATTTTTACTAATTTTGGTGATGAATAAATTATCTGATATTTATAAATTGGGCAAAATGTTTTACATTTTAAGTGGATATAAAGAATTATGGTAACATACACATGGACCATGCATACACATACAATTACAAATGTGAAAATATTGTCCCTTTCATTGATTATCGGTATTTATAATCATGGAAATTATTGAAAAATATCGAGACATGTCTACCTTAAAATCAAATTGGCTTACAAGTACCCTAAGCTATTTTTACATTTTTATTGCAAGAAAATCTTTTTGCAAGGGTTACAAAGGTTGAAATATTGTGGTGGCTCTATTTGGCTGGAGTTTAATATTCAGACCTAGCTATAGGTATTATTACATTTATATGTACACTAGTATCTTGTTGACCTATATTCAGCACTGTATTGATGAATGAGCCACTTATTAGGGCCAATATTCAATCATAAAGTGTACAGGGGTAGAGATGCCAAACCAAGAAGTCTTTTTGTGTCTGTCAAAATCCATTTGCATCCTACACATCCCAACATATTATCCAAATATGTTATTAATTAATGAAACATAACAGTATAATCTTTGGATTTAGAAAGTTGTATGGGATTTCATTAGTATAAAAGTTGCTTTTGAAGCATTTTTCTATAGCCTTTTTGTTGGAAAAAATGATGGAAAAAATGTATAATCTTTTAATTTGAAGTATGACCTGAATCGATTGCAAACTTAATATTTGCACATCTGATGTGATATACCATTTGTGTCATACTGTGAAATTATTTAATTTGCAATCGATTCAGGTCATAGTGTATTTTAGGTATTTTTGTGAAAATCAATCGAAACCAATGGCCTCTATTGGAATTGATGATATCCACATGTTAAGGCCAGGGTGCATGATGGGAAATTTTCTGCATTCCTCAATTGAGTCACATGTTATTTTTCAAACAAGAATCACTCCTTCCCCACATTGTCTATATCTTTCAGTTTTTCACAAAGAGTGCACTTATGTGCCTAGAAAAGACTTGTGAGAAGAATGTTTTAATAAAGTGTATAGAAAACAAGAAAATTCAGTGAAAAAAATCAGAAAAATTTCAGAAATTTTTTTCACTGAATTTTCTCATTTTTTATACATTTTACAAAACAAACCTTCTCACAAGGCTTTTCTAGGCACATAAGTACACTCTTTGTGCAAACTTGGAAGATGTAGACAATGTCGGGAAGGAGTTATTCTTGTTTGAAAAATAACATGTGACTCAATTGAGGAATGCAGAAAATTTCCCAACATGCACTCTGTCCTTAAGTCAATGGAGCCCATTCAATGGCAAGTCAATACACCCTTGCTGAACTAAATGACCTCAACCTCAGCCCATGTGGGTCCAAACGCCCAAATATTTTCCACAGTATTATGTGACATTGAATTCTTTATGTTACACCTAAAAATGATTCATTTTGTTCATGGGGATATCATAATGGAAAGTGCACTAGACCCTTATTGTAATTGTATGATATCGTATTTGTGATTTGAATGTACACTGTGATATTTGAGAAAAAGAATGTTTTGTTTTAGTTTCATTGCAATTTATAACCCTAATATCCTTCCCAGAATCCTTCCTTGTCTTCCAATTTTCTAATAACCTCAGAAGTTCCTACTTTTTAAAAAAAATACAATTTTCCATGATCATTTTTATGTCACCACCACAAGTGGTGACATATTGTTATGGTCTCAAACTTTTTTGTGGACGGTGTTCAGTGGTTGGTGTTTATCATTTGGCAGTTGGTGTTTGGCAGTTGGTGTCTGTAACAAATGGCAGGTGTTGACATTTTGCATGTGAATGCCTTGTCTTATAATGTAGCCAACTGCAATGGATGTAAAACGGATACAGTTAACTAATACATTTCTTGGCATCAATTCAAATCATATGCTAATTTTAAATGAAAATGCTTTTTTTCATGTTTTACCACTCATAAATGCCATAATATCTCGATGTCACATTCAGGAAAATATGGCTATCAACAAGTTTTGAATTCTTACAATCCTGGAAGTTGTACATGTAAGCGCGCACATCTGTCAGTTCAGTTTATGTGTAAAAGTTAATCCCCTAAGCCTTAATACCTGATGCATGAAATATTATGAATGAGTTACATAATATGTACTCGTGCTATTTAGGTAAATGTTGTGCTGTTTCACCAGATTTGACTGACATCTTTAAATAACAACAATTTGATTTGATGATCAGACAGCAACAAAACATATTAAGTGGCCAAGATAAAAGAATGTTATTATGATAGGCATTCTAGGGATTAAGGAATGCATTCAGCTTACATAATTTGAGAAGTTATTGGCATACGTAAAACCTATTTAAAACAGCATTTATCGTATTCAAAAGCGTTGAGCATCATTGATTCCCAGCCCTCTGAAGATTGAAAAATAAAAATACCTGGGTGTTAATCCATGGATTATCTTTGAAAATGAGAAATATATTTTTGGATTACATGGTGTAATCTTAAAGTAAACAAAATGTTTTAAAGTGTATTGATGTTTTTTGGATGAAATACATAAGCGAAATTCATGAAAAAAATCCCCCGATTCATTCTACAAACAACTCGCCCTCCTTTTAATGAATCACCTCGTAAATCATGACAAGAAAATGTTACTATAATATATATGCAATCATGACAAGAAAATGTTCAGAAAATGTTACTATAATATATATGCTGAATACTTGATTATAATCATGGGCTTTCACATTCTCTTAATACAAGCAGGGAAATGAACTTAATAACAATATCAAAAAATGTACTTTCATCAAACTCTAAAGGTCAATTCTACTTACTGTCTCTCTGGGCAACAGATACACTCTTCGCTCGATGTTTTTCACAGTAACGCAACAACTGACGTGAGTATTTGCATTTTCTATGTAGACTTTTCCAAAGAGATAAACCACTCCTGGTTGTTTGAAGGGGTCTTCGTAAGCGTCCAACCAGTACATTCTCAAAACCTAAAACCAATCAATATCTATTAAAGAAACAAGAATGACCATCACAAGAGGTTTGAAGGAAAATGAATAGAACATTTTTTCTATGGCTGGTGTTTGTGTATGTTTTAACCTCTTATAATCCTTCAATCATCACAGTGCCTTATCACTTGGTTTAAAAGCCATATTCATATAAATTGTATAGAAATGCATGAGCAGACGGATAACTTAATCAAAATCTGCGACATAATGTACACATACCTGTTCCCCAGCTTCATTGGTGACAAGAGGCAGTTTACTTGAGTCAACCTGGACATCAATCTCAGTGGTCTGACCAACATTTGCACCCTCCCAGCCACTCACAAATGCTGTCTCCTCAGTTTCCTTCTGGATTACAGGAGCTGGTTTTGGAGGCGGTTTTGGGGCTTGCTTTGGTGTGACTTTTTCCTGGACTTCTGGTACTTCCATATCATCATCAAAGTCGATATCACCCATCTCCATAGAATTTGTATCTTGGGCTGGAATCATTGAAGTATAGATGTCTGAAATGTTTACTAAAAAACTCCTTTTTTCAATAATCCGAGGAAAAGTATATGTATGATAAAAGTTGATTTTATAGATAACATATTATATTCATTTTCAGTGGTGATTTTGGTCAGGTGTTAGTCTAAGTTAAAATTTTGATCATGTTTTGAAATCGGTGTATGAGAAAAAGGGCTAAATATCCAAAACAAGGAGAATCAACCAAGGCAACTTTGGGCAAAAAATAATATGGATAGGAAGAGAATTACTCATATAAATGCCCTACCTTCAGGAGATTTCGGCTGGATGGTTGGTTCTACTTGGGACTCAAATTCCTCAATATCTGGCGATTCATCGACCTCAGTCACTTCTTCTACGTGTCTACGTTTTGGGGCAGATTGGGCAGTCGCAACAGGTGCTCTTTTGGCACTAGGCTTCACCGATAGCGTACTTGGTTTATTGATGACGCTGCTCCGAGAATTCTGGGTACTCGAGCTTGCGAATGGATTTTGTTGGGCTCTGAAATTAAATATTTTGTTTTTAGTGAGTGTTAGTTCTGAGTATTCTGACATATTAAAATTGCTTTTATTTCTATCAGTCTATTTTCTTTAGTTTTTTCATAAAATTATTTCAGTTAACAAACAATGATCTGTGCTTACCTAGGCTTTGAAAAAGTTGCTGCCTTGACATTTGTTGCCATTTTGATTGGTGCTGGTTTGATTGTATCTGACGAATCACCATGAAGTTCTGACATAATGTCACCAAGGAGATCATCCTCTGCTACACTGACTTCTTTCTGTACACAAGAATAATGAAATAATTTCCCATGATTATGGAGATACCCATAATGCATTTTAATTTGCAGACGACTGACAAAAACTTTTTGACTGGATCTCTTAACAACTGTACATTACACATCAGTTTTCAGATTATATATTAATTTATATTTCATTATTTGATCAGTTTTGAGAACATATAATAAATATAAATTTTATAAAGATGTTTTTTTTACAATTAAGATTTTTCACTCACCTCTGTGCGTCTCTTTACTTTACCCGAGGCTGCCTGGGCTGCGAACATTGACTTGATGTTCTTCGGTTTAGTGCCTGGCTTACGTATGTTCACATTACGCTGCTTCTTTTCATTGGCCTTCGCAGCTAAAAACAAACAAAAGATGTATGTACATGTAATTCATTCTTCAATGTCTCAACTAAATATCATTCTAAATAAAATGCTTGTAATATAAGGGTGCAGAAATATTAAGGTTCCATCAAAATAGTGAATTAAAACAAGGCAATAATTTTTCCTTTTCAAAATTTATCTTAAAGGATGAATATAACTATCAAGGGCTAGGAAGACGAGAAAAATTAGTTTTTGGAGAAAATATAATCAACTGGATTCTGTTTCATCAATTAAATGCAATATATACATGTTCCCTTTCCAATCAAATGTGAAATTGCTCTTGTAACGAAAGTGAAAGTATTTGAAAGTTGTTAAAAATTCCCTTCAACATTTGTCACAATGAATGTTTCCATACCATCTCTTAAAATCTCTTAAAACATCCCAAACTATGGGCTGAAATGAAAACTAAATTCTCATCCTGAATATTTGTTTCAGCTTTAGCGTTTGCACATATTGGTCAAATATACCGGCGGCCATCTTGAAAAATTATTTTTTTGCGTAAAACAATTAACTAATATACATCTTTTCGCCTAATATGAAGAAAATCTGCCAACTAGTAACTAGTATTCGAGTTATCTTCCGGACAGACAGATGGAGGGCTTCACTATATACCTACTGAACTTCGTTCATTGGGATAAATATGGGTATATAGTTTACCTTTCTCTGTTGGGGCATCAATGTCATCATCAAATATCTCTCTGCCATCTTCGACATAACCACCACCATCTGAAAAAGCATTTCACTCAATTAATACATAAACAGATATGACCTCTTAAATATGGGAAATGTTATTTCACCACTTTTTGGGCTTCTTGACTCTACGAACTACACCAGCGAAAATTTACGAGAGTATAGTATCAGTGATCTCCCTAGCATAAAGCAAGTGGGCGCAGCACCAATCTGATATTTTGAAAATAGGATTGCACCCACCTGAAAATCCATCTGCACCCTCTTGAAAATGAGAAAATCATAAAAAGTTGGCATATTTTGACCAATTTTGGTCTGAATTGTGAAAATGAGAATTTCACACCCATTTGAGAAAAAATCCTGCGGAGTTCACTGAGTATAGTTTCAAGTTGAGTACGCATTAATTTCTGAAGGTTTGAACGTACATGTATTTCAATTTCTGAATTTTTATGCTGTTGAAATTTTGAGCTTCTGAAGATTTGAACTTTTGAAGATTTGGATTGAAATATTGAGGATTGAATTTTGAAATTGTGGAAGTTTGAACATCTGTACCTACCATCATCAACAATCCAGTCGTCCTCTTGTCTGTTTCTGACAATCTCAGAATATTCATCTTCACCCACTTCTTCATAAACATCTTGTTCATCCTCCAGCTGAAACAGAAGAGGAAAGATGTACCCACAATGTCAACCACCCCAAAGAGGGGGAGAAACCCCAGGGTTCAAAGATGACATAAGCTTATAATGTAAATCTGTATTGAGATGACATCGTCGCTGATTGGTTTAGCGAGTCGATCGTTGATTGGTTTAAAACTAGGTCAATTTGAAAACTTTGAAAACCAAGATTGCAGGAAGTATAAACATACGTACTTCCGGGAAAGGAGGTGGGCAAAGGAGGAAATCGTATGTCATCAATTGAATCATGGGGTTTTCCCTCCTCTTACCACCCCACAAACATTTTACTCTCCTAGCTGAAGTACAAGAGGTAATGTACGTCATCCCAGAATTCACCATCAATCTCCTAATCTTGGTCATCTGGTAAGATATACCCAAAATGATCTTCCAGTTAAATCATCATTTTAAAAATTGATCTAAAAGTTATATCATATCCTGAAGTGCCGTGAAAATGTCTTACCTCATACTTGACTCTGCCTTTTGCTTTAGCCTGCTTGAACTTTTCAAGTGCAGCTTTTCGCCCTGTTCGATCAGTCTTTGCTCGGCGACTGCGACCAGTGGATAAACTAGCCTCAGCTTAAATAAAAGAAATCAATCAAATATAATAGCAACTAATGTGTATAACATTCAACTAAAGTACGGTTCGTTCACAGCTGCAGCTGTCTGCTCAAGATGAAGAAAATCAAAGAAAATATTTTTATTTTTTGAAATGAACTGAAGTTGAAGTAAGTTTTACCAGATATAAAAGATACAATGGGTGTTAAATATGAGTTTGCTATGATTCACATATAGTGCAGAGTATAAATAGATACAAAATAATGCAATCATACATGTATATACCGATAAAACAGTACAAACCTGATGCGGATTCTTCTTTTTCAACTTGCGCCATTTTTCCAAATTGTTGTGAAAAAAAATTGGCGCGAAAATATGATGGGAATTTCATACGAAACAACATTTTTTGAAATTCGTCTTACAAAACAATAATTTTATTAATATATTCGTTTAGACTCTATAGTAATAAATCAGAAAAAACGAATAGAAAAATGCACTTAAATGTTTAAAATTTCTAATATATTTGATTTCCGTTTCAGAAAGGAGTTGACAATTTTGCTATAACTTCCGGAAACAAATTTTCTGAAAACAATATTGAATATTTGTGATACGTGTTCGCTGATTACTGCCAGGTATGTAATGGTTGAGTCATGTACGCGCAGTTTTATTAAACATGAATATATAGTGTACTATGATCTGGTATATCAATGATTATACAACAGACGGCACGAAACCGATATCATTCGGTTTCGTGCCGTCTGTTGTATAATTTGGATGTTTAAAAATTGATCAAATTTTTTACCAGGAAAACCAATCTGATTCAATTGAATAATTCTGATTGTGATTCTGCCAACTGGCTTGCTTGTCCCATAATAGAAAAAACATCTTTCGGAGTACAGTATGTCTGCGTTGTCATTATCGATATATTCGTATTTGATCAGAACTGGGTTCCAACATAATTTCTACACATTTATCAGGCCCGTAGCCAGAATTTTTCAAGGGGGCCCCTTTTTCACTTTTCCCAAAAATTCTAGGGGGGTTCACTTTGGCATATTTAGCCAAAAATCACACTAAAAATGACCAGAATGGTGAAAACCGAGCCCCCCGAACCCCAAAGACTGTATCCTTCGTCTGAATAAATATTCAGACTGTAAGTCACCTATTGTAAAATGTGGTGTTGTATAAATGTTACAAATAAGTTTGTTTAATGATAAAATGATTACCTTATAAAGAACTTACAATATTATTTTTTCGTATATTGTCCTCTTACTGAAGATATTCATAAAATGTACAGACGCTTCTTGTAGCGAAGCCATTGATTAGGTCAAGCCATTTTGGCAATGCCAATTCTCACGATAAACGAGATTTAGCCAGTGACGTCAGTCTATTTGTAAACAAATAACACGTGGAGCGGACGGAGCAACATTACGGAAGCGTATTGATAAATTCCATTTGTGCGGGAATTTATTAGATCTAGTCATTTATTATCATTATCCCGATTAATTTTCTTCATTTATAGTAAATAGAGCGGAAATATTCATGAAGAAGGCCGAGGTAATCAAGTGGTCATGTGTTGTCAAAGTTCAAAAATTTGCATATCTCGTTTGGATCTCGTGAACTCAAACGTCCTTGACATTGATTTCGCGATCTACTTATGAACACATCCTGAAGTTTTGGTGAGTCTGAACATTTCATTATTTTATATCAACTTGTACCCGCCTTATACAAATATTTTTGCTTCTAGTTTAAGATGAACATCTCTTCAACATATTCACCAATTTTCAAGGTGAACATTCTTGTAATAAACGGGAAATTTGTGTGCAAAAAATATCACCGCGATTTCCACAGGAAATATATCAATCATAACAGACCGAATATTATATTCGGTCTGTTGGATACATACTACCCGAACCCCTAGACTATATCCTATTTAGTCTGAATTATATTCAGACTATAAGGCACCTATGTTAAAGTTTGGTAATTCTAAATATTTGTTTACATATAGGAAGTGCTATTCAAAATGGCCGATTGGCTAAAATCAATTTGCACATTTGTTATTTCAACTAGCTTTATTTCCACTTGACAATTTGCTGTGTTACTTTTTATTGCATTTAATTGTACCTTACTATTTAATTGAAATTTTGTAATGTTTATTTTATTGAAGAAATGGTTCCTCTGATTGAAAAAATTTCACTGCAATTTCCGAAGGAAAATAGTACATCATAACAAACTGACTTCTAGTCAGTCTGTTGGATACATACTACCCGAACCCCCCTGGCTATGGGCCTGTTTATGAATGAAATAGCTTACACATACCTTCTTCTAAGGCCACTATATCGTGGCCTTTGTTCAAAGATAAATCCCTGCATGTTTTTTACTGCTGTATACGGGTCGTGTCATAATCATAAAATTTGAAATCAAGTGTCCGCCATTTTTCCACATCACAATTTGAATTGCGAGTTTTGGTCTTATTACCTCACCAAAAATTCCAAAACACACATGAAGTGATCAATGTATTAGTTCACTATTAGTTCACATCTTCTGGATTGCTAACTTAGAATTTACAGCCAGTTACTAATGTCAGATGTCAACTACATTTCGTCCAGTTTTTCGATTAATGCCATTTTTCTTGAAAAATGCATTAGAGATACTAAAAAATACCCCTGGATAGACAACTTCATCATTTGCGTTGCAGCAGTTTTCCAGAACTTTGGAGCATGGATTGAGCATATCATCTATTAATCAGGCATGTCTGTTGATGCCATGTAACTTCTGCAAGATTTCAGATTGAGTGACCTTTATGATACCTACAGAAATTTTAGACCTTCTTCTAAAAGATGTGAAAATATTAGTCCATTAATGCAATTAATAACTAATCGTGTAGCTTGATGCAAGGTTTCACTTTTTTGGACCACCCTGTATACAGTAAAACCTGTAAAATGAATCACCTCCTCGTATGGGAAATACTTCAAAATTATGTTACTTATTACCATCTGATAGAGCCCATGTTATTACTTAAATTAAAATGAGCCCCTGTAAATAAAACATAATTCTGAGCTTTTACAGCTGTTCCACTGTGGTTTTACTGTATGAGTATACTGTATTGCATTGTCTGATTTAATCAATAGTGTTTACATTCATGAGTGTCAAGTTCAACTACAGAGATATGAATAGAAAAATATTATAAGCTGTGCACAAAATTTGCAATTCACCTAAATATTAAACTACATATTGGAAATGTCTCCATGTTGTGTGATGTGAAGACATCTATTTTGTATGGTTTTCAAATTTAAAACCTTGGCACTAGAAATGTCCTACGTGGTGAACTATCTCAATTAGGAAAATCATTTTTGCTTTTTCAAACCAGAAATTCTAACAAAACACTTGTTCTTTCTCCGAAATAGTAGAATTGATACCTGGTTGGGAAAATTGTATTTAATTGTTTTTTTTTGTTGAATATCTGACGCATATTCCAGGATCATAACAAGATGTTTTTTCTTTATATGAAAGTTAAAAATAAATGTGTGAAGAGATTCCTCATCACAGTCAAGTGCTTTTTAAATGTAATGATTTGGTCACATTAAAATCTGAACTTTTTGTACTTGTATTTTGGACTTGAACTTTAAATGGCTTTTGTACCTGAACTTTGTTTTTCATTATCATGAACTATTTATGAGAACACAATGCTGGTACAGTGGTACAATGATCTATATTGTGTACTGTAAGCCTGGTATTCTATATGCTATTAATTTTCATGAATTATAAACATTTTATCATAATACTTCAGATTAAACCTCCCGAAAAGCATGAAATTTAATAATACGCGAAAATTATCGGCAGTACAGTACTTATTCATCAGTGTGGTATGAGGTATCAATATGCTTGATCAACCAAGACAAAAATTTTGTGATTTTCAAAAGTGGTAGTTATTATCGTCAATTTGACAGTCAGGTTAAATGGACACCATTCTAAATGAAAATAGCCCAGCTCCTGAAATTTTTATTTTTTTTAGTTTAATTTCACAATTTCTTTCATTTTGGAAAAACCATAGCAGTGAATAGCGAGTGAAGGTTAAAATACATTTAGGCAATTTAATTTCAGAGGAAGAGATGTGAAAGGAAAGTGGAAGGGAGGGGGGGGGGCTGATAGATGGGAGATGCAGATTGGCTTGACAAAAAAAATCAGTAAATTGTTTTCTGAACAGTTTGAAAGTAGGTGTAACTTGAACTCTTGTTCAATTAATTATCTCCCAGGGAAATTGATTATTCTTTATCATCATCTTGCTTGGTAAAACCAAACCAATTACATCATGTAAACCTAATCAACTCCACTGTTATCATGTTTGAGAATTCAGTCAATCAAATTTTGGCTATTATGTGGCACACATGGTGAGCCTATCACCCATTAGTCCTATTTGCTTGTCCGTCAACAGATTTTGATCAAACGAAAACTACCATTTGTCTGCAATTATGTTGATATCTTTTTTACAGCTAGGGGTCCATACTGGAAAAAACAATTGGCCCGTTAGCTCCTTACTGTTGTTTTTTTAGTCATTTTCACCATGTGAGCAGGCTGTCCAACTGTCCCGCAATTTGCGTATTTGTCACGCAGTTGCTGAAGAAATTGCAATCACCCCAGGTTTTTTTGTGTGACAGAATATGTCACGCAAATACGAATTTTACCTGATACATGCCACCTCATTGAAAATCTGTTTGTACCCTGCCTCAGAAACAATCTGAAAAAGTCATGAAGATTCACATAGATAGGCGAAGATATATGCTTTTGAGCAACTTTAATTATTTGGTCAATGCAAGTTAAACATAAAATGAAAACATTGCATAATTGAAGTGGTTTACAGTATGCTCTTATGATAATAATAACATGTGTACATGTTAATCACATAATCTTATTATAGCTGCCTAGATATTTATTAACGCCCCCCCCCCCTTGGCCCCTTTGAGCTCACAATCTCAACTATATTACTCATCTCAAAATGTATGCAACAGCATTGGGAGTTTATATGAACCTTCATTGACTTTTCCAGATTGTTTCTAAAAGTTATTGCTTTTGTCAATATCTTAATATTTTATCATTGAGGCAGGGCGCAAACAGATTTTCAACAGGGTGCCATGTAATTTTCTAATGCTCAGTAGGGTGCAGCACCCATTTGATAAAACTGCAACCATTTGATCAAACTCTGGGGAAATTCTTAGTTAAACAGAACCATATTCAAGTACTGAAGAATCTTACTAATCCGGTAATCAATATAATCATAGAGAACAGAATATTTGGCTGAAATAGCATTTTGTAAGGGATGTGTTAACATATGACATAGCTAATCAGGCCATGGTACATTCTGGATTAGACTTTAGCCCTCTGTAATTCTGATCTCATATTGAGGGATCATCTCAAGGATGCTTGGCTTAATGTCTATAAACATCTAAAGAAAACATGGTTGATATATTATCAGTCTGTTTGTTTGATTTCATATTGAAATATTGATGATTGTTTGTTTGTTTGTTTGTTTGTTTGCTTGCTTGCTTGTTTGTTTGTTTGTTTGTTTGATAAAGGCTGTAATCTGGAAGAAAATGAAGTATGTCTTCCCATTGTCTCTTGAAGAAGGAGCTACAAAACTAGCTCCCTCTCCATCTTTGTTCCTCTACATATATTTTACTAAGCGTACCATGTAATCACTCTTACATAGAAACTGCCTCCAGGTACTCCAGTTGAGAATCTGAATAATCATCAAATAAATAATCATCAAAATTGGAATGTTTTGAACATTTCCTAACTAGAAAATGTAAAAAAAATTCTATGTGATGGAAACTCTTTAGGAGAGCCCAGGTACAATTATTACACATGGACCTTTGATACAACCTCCTTAGTATATTGTGATATTCATAGGTTTCAGCTGAAGAAGGGGGGTACAATATATAACTGATTGCATGTACTTCGCATCTATCCCTATTAATTCAAGTTCTATAGAATAACAAGGAAATGCTACAAGGCACAGTACTATAGTACAATAAAACCTGTCTAATCTGAACACGACTGGGACCAAGATTCAAGATTTCAATGTGTTTCAAGCCAAACAATTGACTTCCTCACAAAATCAATTAGAAGACAGAATTATATTTATACATAGTAGAATGCATTGTTGAACATATATTTAAATATGATTAAGATATGACAGGCCCGTAGCCAGGATTTGCCAAGGGGGGGTTCAACTTTCAAAAATTTCCAGGGGGGGTTCACATTTGACAATTTTTGGCCCAAATTAGGCTAAAATCACTTGAGAAGTGCTCAAAATGGTCAAAAACTGCATGATTTTGAAAGAATTTTTGGCCAGGGGGGGGGGGGTTCGCCCGAACCCTGCGAACCCCCCCCTGGCTACGGGCCTGTATGATTATATATACTAGGTTATCCTTTTTCAAATCCAATCCAAAGTGTCCAGATTAGCAGATGTTCATTTCAAAGGTATAAATAAGTCAATGGAAGAAAACAAATTTGGGACTAATTAAATATGTTCAGATTGAGAGGTGTTCCAATTTGCGAGGTGTTCACATATGCAGGTTTCCTTGTATGCATTGATTGACTTATTAGCAAGGATAATTTTTGATGCATCGTAAAAGGAAGTAAAAAAGAGAGCAAGAAATTGAAATAATAAAGTTATTGAATGATTTGAAGTGCAATACAGGATATATTCTGCTCGAGAAATTCCGTACAGATTGGTACAGCACAAGAACTGACCAATCAGAAGGCTTCATTTTACAGATCACACGATAATTGAATATACTCAGTGTTCTTATATTTTTGGCTCTCTTTCCATGTCATGTCTAGTCCCTTTAAAGTCAAGTCATTTACAGTTCTGACTTTTTTTCAGGATTATTTAATGTTATGTAATGATTATATGTGTAAGTTTATTTTGCAATATTTTTGAAAGGGGACATCTAATTTGTTTAATGAAAATATAGATTTCAACATCTTAAATCTTCAACAGCATCTTTATTTGATCTGATATCTCAACTCTTTTTTCCAGAAAATGAAATTAGTATTGTCAGCAAGAAAGCATATGACATGATTTTGGAAAATGTAATTTCCAACAGTTACACTATCCAGGCCCTTCGGATGTGGGGAGCAGGCCTATCAACTTGGGAACATTTAACATGCGTGACTTACAAATGTTGATCACCTTCCTTCAATTTGTGGACACCTTGGTTCAAAAGTGAACTTCAACATAATGCGTGATTTGGGTGACATTTCATCGTACACGCAAAATTGATGCGTTATTTCAATTTTTCCAGCAAATGAGTGTCGATCACGCTTAATGCGTGAGGGTTGACAGGGCAGGGGGATTAGCGGGGAGGGGGGGGGGGTTGTTGGGCTTGATCACACTGAAATCATAGTAACTATGACATCATACGACTATACTTCTTTGTGTCTGATAGGCTTGTTCTTCATCTCTTCAATTCTTTACATCAAGTAATGATGGAACTGTCTTAATTGTTGTTTCAGATAATTGCCCATAAAGATACAGGCCAAACGATGAAAACATAAGAACTTTAACTGAAATTTTTGAAAAAGGAACTGAAAGTGGCCAGACTTAGACAAGACACACTTGAAACAACCACGGAGAAAAATTAGCCAAACAGAAATGTCTTCAAGAAAGAGGAGTTGGAGTAGCGGTGATGAGGACGGAGCACAAGAGGGGACTTCTTCCGGGACTCCTGCTAAAAGACGACAGGTAACAACAGTATTTATATATCTTCAGCTGCTTTTTTCGAGTCATCAGCTTAAGCATAGATCTAGTGTGAGCTCTCTTAAAGGAGGAACATCAACAGAAATTGCATATCTACTATTTGAGGGGGGGGGGGTAATTGGAATAGAGCATGATGATGAATCTTGTCAAATCCTCAGGCTCATAGCCAGGGGGATTCCAACCCCCCGGACCCCCCCCCCACCTTGGATGAAATTTTTTTCAAAATCATGCAGTACTTTTTAAGTGATTATGGGCAAACTGTAACTAGTAAAACTGTAAACTCACCCTGGAATTTTTTCAAAAGTTACCCCCCCCCCCTGGCAAAAGCTGGCTACCGGCCTTTTTTTGAACACCTTGATCACCTTGTTGAATCACAAGAACAATTGCCTTAAGTTGACAAATGTAAACTCGCCCTTGAATTTTTCAAAAGTGCCCCCCCCCTTGGCAAAAGCTGGCTAGTACGGGCATGATCGTGATCACCTTGATCACCTTGTTAAATCACAAGAGCAATGGGATAGATTCAATAGACTAGATGCGAATAGAAATAATCTTGATTTACGTCATCAAATATTTAAAATTCAGCCAAAGTGATGTCATATTTGAAATCTACATGTAAAAGTACATCTAGAAAAATGGTTTCGAAAATTGTTTATCAACTTTGAAAATCTAATTTTTTTTGAAAATGTGACTTCTAGCTCGGGTTGATTCCTCATAGACCCCATGTTACAAAATCACAAAAAGTGAAATATCTTTTCTTGTATTGGACAGATAACATTTTCTTTTACTGGACATATTTTAATTTGCATAACTATTAGATACATAAGGGTTATACAAAAATTGAACCACTAAAACAGATGTAATTTAAGTTAAAGGGAACTTTCTACTATACCCGCCATGTTATCTGACCCGAACGAGCCACCTGGTGGCGAAACTGGTAACTACCTACTCGCATCTGCGTTATTGCTTAGGGCAATCAAGAGGTATAGGGTGGTAAACAAATGGAAACCCTAGTTTTCCCTCATATCTTTCAAATTGTCATTTGTTTGCTGTTTTTACCACCCTGTTGTTGGATCCTAGTAACTACCAGGTTTTCATTGTATCCTCATCTTTAACTTTAATGATAAAAAGGTTCATAATTATTAGAATTCAGGGATGGCAACTTTCAATGTTTTTTTTCTTCACAACCACAGAAATTTCTTTGGGGCCCACCAAATGGGGGTCTCCAGGCTCAGGGGCGTAGCCAGCTTTCAGTCAGGGGGGGTGTGATCGCCAAAAAATTTCGGTTTTCAGTTGGGGGGGTGTGATTGTGGCATAAACAAGCGATCGCACCCCCCCCCCCTGGCTACGCCTATGAGGCTGTCCCTCACATATCCACCACTGTAAGAGAAATAACTACAATCAACACATAAATGAAATGTAAAGAGTGAATGTTTCATATATTAATTAATTCTGAGCTTTAGTCTGAATCGATAACAATATCACCAAGTTGATGTGCAATAATATTAGATTGATCTCATATACAGTATTTGTCCCTCGTATGTATAGACATGTAGTTCACTAGACTTCTACATCCTCCCATCACAGGGCTTCAAAATCCAGAATATTGTCGCGTTCCAGACTTTTGCCGATAGTCTGGAAGCGATGAGTAATTTTCTACCTTATACTTCTTTGTGGGCCCAGTCCTGGTTTGGTGGACTGGATGAAACGACAGTCACAAATGGCTTCAAATTTAATACATATATTTTAACACGCACTAACTATACAAGAAAATAACACAGTTCAATGTTCATAGCTTAAAATGTCACTTTAAAATTCTCTTTATAAGCTTGGTAGTGGCCGTTACTGCTTTCTTACTGCTTCCTATGGCTCTTAAGCTCTTTGCTCGGCTCCTCTGCATCTTTGTTCAGCTACTATGGCTCCAATGGCTCTTTAGCTCTTTGCTCAACTCTTCTGGCTCCTTAGCTCTTTCCTGACTCCTCTGGCTCTTGAACTTGGCTCTTCTGGCTCTTTGTTTAGCTCCTTGGCTCTTTAGCCTGGCTCCTCTGGCTCCTCTGGCTCTTGAACTTGGCTCCTCTGGCTCTTCGTTCAGCTCCTTGGGTCTTTAGCCTGGCTCCTGTGGCTCTTGAGCTTCGCTCCTTGGGCTCCTGAACGTGGCTCCTCTGGCTCTTCGTTCAGCTCTTTGGCTCTATAGCCTGGCTCCTCTAGCTCCTTAGCCTGGCTCCTTTGGCTCCTGAACTTGGCTCCTCTGGCTCTTCGTTCAGCTCTTTGGCTCCTTAGCCTGGCTTCTTTGGCTCCTGAACTTGGCTCCTCTGGCTCTTCGTTCAGCTCTTTGGCTCTTTAGCCTGGCTCCTCTAGCTCTTTAGCCTGGCTCCTTTGGCTCCTGAACTTGGCTCCTCTGGCTCTTCGTTCAGCTCTTTGACTCTTTAGCCTGGCTCCTCTGGCTCTTGAGCTTGGCTTGGCTCGTAAGCCTACTGGGAAGGCTCCTAGCTGCTCGTAGCTCTAGAAGTCCTCCTGGAACTATCTATCGTCAGTGGTGAAACCGAACTGACAAAATAGCTCACACTGTCTCTTTGCTCAGCCCCTGTTCTTGCTGGGAAGACTCCTAGCTGCTCGTTGCTATAGACGTCTTCCTGGAACTATCTATCGTCAGTGGTGAAACCGAACTGACAAAATAGTTCGCTGTGTTGGGAAGTTTCTCAATTGCACCTTACAGCTAGTGGTGGAACCGAACTAACTATAATGCAAGGTTGCTTCCAGATTGTTCCTTGCTGCTTCCTCAAGGACAAAACTGAACTCTGAAAAATTCTTGACAACACTTTAAATTGAAGCATGAAGCTATTCCAACATACTCCGTCAGGGACCCGCTAAGGCAATCAATGACACAGTGTTGCTATACATTCAATCTGACAAATATCTCACTTTAGAAAGCCTGGGACACAAAATGGCGACACACAGTAGATCCCAATACCCGATGAATTAGAAACTAACAGTCAGTCAGAGGCATCTCAGTAGCATGCTGGCCATGAAGTTACAAATTCTGGTACACATGAAATTAACAATTACAGTCAGTCAGAGGCATCTAGTAGCATGCTGGCCATGAAATCAAATCAACAAAAAGGAAAAACCTCACCCGAATAAATGTTGCTTTCTCTAAGTTCCCAAAAATTCAGGTTTTCTCTCTTGGTTCTCCTTCAGAAACTTCCTGGTGTGTCTTCCCGCTTTATCCTTCTTAATTAATCCCGAATCACTGGCTGATGGCTACTCCAGAGTGTGATAATTGTGGATTTTCTCCCAACCTTTCATTCACGCTGCTTCATTCAAAATAGCGACCTTCCTTCTCTTCTCGTGATGGCATGAGTCATACAGGCACAGGTTATCACTATTTGAAATCAGGGGCACTGCATTGCAGCAATTGAGGGGATTCCCCTTCCTCTCTTGGAATACCCACTTGTGAGCAGGGGTTTCCCTATCCCTTGCATAAATAGACCAATTAAACATAAAACTGCACCAGTGGGAAAATTAAAAAAAGGATAAACTCAAAAAATGAAATTTTCCCACAATATATTCTTTCTTTTTACCCCCTGCGATAAGCAGTTAGCATTTCCCCGATTAAGAACTCGCAATCTGATTGGTTGTTGCAACACTGCGACAGAAATCACTTGGTATTAGTCATTGGGGGGGGGGGGGAGGGGGGGGGGGGGTTCGCAGAGTTCATGTTCGTTCCCCCCCCTGGCCAAAAATTCTTTCAAAATCATGCAGTTGTTCACCATTTTGAGCACTTCTCAAGTGATTTTAGCCATATTTGGGCCAAAATTATCAAATGTGCACCCCCTGGAAATTTTTGAAAACTGAACCCCCCTTGCCAAATCCTGGCTACGGGCCTGCGTTACATCTTTCCCTCAGTATAATTCCCACAGCCCGAAAAGCTTTGACTATAATAAAGGACGGCTGGTTATTTTACAATTGTCATTGAGGGGTAAACTAAAAAATCTGAAAAATCCTTTCTTGATTCAAATTAATGATGTTTACTAGTATATCAAGTTATGTATTCAGTAAAGTGTGTCTTGTATGTTAAAATTTGTTCACCAGCGGATGTTTTAGGTACAGGGTGACACAATAATGCAACCCACTTCATTTAGAGCACATATCTTGTAACACTCATAAAAGTGCATCTGTTTGAGTAATCTTAAATCTTTTTTGGAGTTGCTCCATGGACTTAAGTTTTAATGTGCTAAAGAAAAAGTCAGAATTTTATGCAGACTTAAAAGTACATCCTCCGATCACAGGGCTTCAAAATCCAGAATATATTCTTTCTTTTTACACCCTGCTATAAGCAGTTAGCATTTCCCCAATTAAGAATGAGCAATCTGATTGGCTGTTGCAACACCACGACAGAAATCATGTATACGTCATCGGCGCATAATTAGATCACGTGATTCAGTTTAATCGGGCGTGTCCAAATTGGTTATAGCAGCGGGAAGAAGGAGGTACAGATTCTGTACACCTGCTTAGGAAGTGTAAAAGTAATGCAACATCAAGTAGTTGGCATTTTTTCTGTCACTCTGTATATAGCATATGCTCTGATGTTCATGATTCTAATTTTCACTATATCAAGTTTTACTTATCTATTTTTAATGAGACATATGCTTGGGTAAATAATTAACTTTGAATTAAACAAGTAATAATGTTTTAATTCAAAATAGTTGAATTTTGTCCTCTCTTGAATGATTCATTTGTCGAATGAGATAATTTGTAAATGGACTTGACTTTGATTTTAAAGAATTATGTTATATAAAAATTGAATTTTTTTCTACTGAGAATTGGATTTTGCTCAGAAGAACACAAAATTCTGAAAAATACTTTTTGCAAATATAACACAATTACTCACCAGAAAAGACAGATTCTAACTCAACACATTGGAGAAATCTGGAAATTGAAACAACAAAAAAGAATTTATTTAAAATTGGATTAAGAATTTTGATTTGAGAATTTATCTAATATCTATTGCTAACAATGAAGGGACCTGGAGATTTTAGGATAACAAGACAAACTTCACGACAAGAAGTGAGTTCAAAAACGGAACACATTCTTCTTTTAGGTGCATTCTCAAGCTAGAAACCTTTTGTTTTGGACAACAGTTAATTAAAAAATATTCTGGCAAATTTTGAATGAAATCGTAAAAATGATCCATTTTTAACTTTTTGGCGTCACAATTAATTTGCTTTTAATTTGATGTGAAGAAATTTGCTTTGTTGCATCTGAATTTATCAAAACAAATAATGTACCTTAGGATTATTGCAACATGGTAACCAATGATTGCCATATTGAGCTTTATTTTATTGAAAAGCCTGCAAGGGGTGACATCTTTCAGTTGAAGCAAAAATTCATATTACTAGATATATGGTCACGTAACTGCATCAAACATTTTTAGTAAGAGCTTTTCTATGATCTCCTTCTAATGTCAACTAAATTAACATTGGCATTGGCATACCTAACATTGGCATACATAACATTGATGTAACTAACATTATTAATTAAGCTAACATTATCTAATTGTAGCTTACTTACCGATAACATTGGCATTCCTTACAATGGAATGAGTAACAATTGGTTTGGTATTTCTAACATTGGTACAGTGGCTTACTTAACAATAACATGAATAACATTGGCATATCTAACATTTACTTACAATGTCACATTGGCATTGCTTTAAATAACAAACTACTAACAAATGCTGTTTTCACACTTTAGCAAGGAAAGCGAGAGGTAAGGAATTTTGGGACCAAATTACTGGTGAAATGTTTGGAGCTTTCATAGATACTGTATTTAAATGTCCATATCAACCTTGGTCAGTTTAAAGCAAAGCATCAGAAAATTGTCAGATTGAGCTGAAATTGCATTTATTTTCCTGTTGGTTTGCTTTAATCTGTGATAAAATGTCAGTACTTTGGGTTTGTTCAGATGTCATTTTGGTTCAAATATTGTTTAATTTTTTCAGTTCAAAATTGAGTATAGAGAAATAAAATAAACAGGTATTACCTAGGTTACGTTCTAAATTATAAACAAATGAGCAGAACAAATGGACTTTTGTTGAACATTAATATGAACATTTCATGAATCTGAATAAACCCTATGTTTACATTACATGTGGTTATTATCCCATCGAACGAAGTTCGGAGGGATATAGGGAACGCCTCCGTCCGTCCGTCCGTACGTACGTCCGTCCGTACGTACGTCCGTCCGTCCGTCCGTCCGTCCGGGCAATAACTCAAATACCGTTGGCCCGATTTTATTCATATTTTGTATACATATACCCTATGGGGATAGAAGTTCTGCTCGAAAGCCGATTTTCAAAATGGCCGCTCATTTAAAAATGGCGGCCATTTTAGTGCCGATTTTACAGTAATTTAGGTGCAATATGTAAAACTGTAATAGCAATATGTTTTAAATGTAAAAAAAAATTATATAGGACATTAATAAAGCTAGAAATGTAGATATTAAAAAAGCACATGGCAGCCATCTTGAAAAATGGCGGCCTTTTCTCGTTATTTTACGATTTTTGCTGTAACTCGAAAAGTAGTGGAGCGATTTTGTTCATATTTGGTATGTGAATACTATAAGCATGCCACACTGTCTAATGACACTTTTGGTAGAAGGCGGCCATTTTGAAAAATGGTGGACATTTTGAAAAATGGCCGCCATTTTAACTTATTTTACTATAACTCGAAAAGTATTGGAGCGATTTTGTTCATATTTGGTACGTGAATACGTATAAGCATGGCACACTGTCTAATGACACTTTTGGTAGAAGGCAGCCATTTTTCAAAATGGCCGTCATTTTAACATATTTTACTATAACTCGAAAAGTAGTGGAGCGATTTTGTTCATATTTGGTATGTGAATACTATAAGCATGGCACACTGTCTAATGAGACTTTTAGTAGAAGGCGGCCATTTTTCAAATGGCCACCATTTTAACGTATTTTACTATAACTCGAAAAGTAGTAGAGCGATTTTGAATATATTTGGTATGTGAATATTATAAGCATGGCACACTGTCTAATGACACTTTTGGTAGAAGGTGCCCCTTTTGAAAAATGTTCGATGGGATTCGCTACGCTTTGGCGTTGCCGTTGTTCTGGTTTGACTGTAAGGATTTGGGATTGTTTCACATACTCTACATATTTATTTATAGAATAAATGCACCTTGTTACAAACCAGTCTTGCATAAACCCCCAGCCTCTTTATTTAAGAAATATAGACCGAAGAGCAGGGCTACTAGTTTCGAATACACCCCGCAGGTCTAGCAGGGCCGTCAGATGGGGGGGGGTGCGATGGGTGCGACCGCACCCCCCTTTGTCACCCCCCAAAATAAATTTGAAAAAAAAATTTTGAAAATTTTTTTTTTGAAAAATATTTTTTTTGTAATTTTTTTTCATTGACTCATACACTTTGAAAGTACCCAGAAAGCACCAAATAGCATCTTAAAATTGTAAAAATTTCTAGGGGTATTGGCCACCCCTCACACTCCCCCACAAAACAATGGAAAAGTTCTAAATTTATTTTAGTGTTTTGTCTCAGACACTTTTAAAGTGCCCAGACATCATCGAATAGCTCCTTAATATACACTGTAGTTAGTGTTTCTGGGGGACTTGCTCCCCTCTTGCATCTTGCACTTGCATAACCCCCTCCCCCCTCTGGCGCACCCCCTTGACCCCCCCCCCCCTCCTTAATAAAAATTGTGATTTTCTCAAATTCTTTAATTGACTCATACACTTTGAAAGTGCCGAGAAAGCACCAAATAGCGTCGTAAAATTGTAAAATTTTCTAGGGGGAGTGGGCCACCCCTCACACCCCAAACAAAACAATGGAAAAGTTCTGAATTTGTTTTATGTATTGTCTCAGACACTTTTAAATTACCCAGACATCATCAAATAGCTCCTTGATAACGTTAATGATTCTGGAAGACTAACATTTACTCGCCCTCTGGCATCCCCACTCCACCTCCCCCTCTGGCAGCCCCCCCCCTTAACACCCCCCCCCCCCCCCCCCAAAAAAAAAGATTGAGATTTTTCAAAATTTTTTATTGACTCATACCCTTTGAAAGTGCCCAGAAAGCACCAAATAGCATCTTAAAATTGTAAAATTTTCTTGGGAAATAGGCACTTTTAGGCACAGACACTTTTAAAGTGCCCAAACTTCATCGAATAGCACCTTGATATTGTAAATTTTGATATGGGGGACAAACACTTGCTCCCCCTCTGGCACCCCAGCCCCACCTCCCCCTCTGGCATTCCTCCCCCCCCCTTTGACACACCCAAAATTTGAAAAAAATTGTGATTGTTTTTCAATGTTTTTATTGACTAATACACTTTAAAAGTGCCCAGAAGCACCAAATATCATCTTTAAATTGTAAAATTTTCTAGGAGAGTTAGCCACCCCTCACATCCCCCACAAAACAAAAGAAAATATTCTGAATTTCATGTATTGTCTCAGACATTTTTTAAGTGCCCAGACATCATTAAATAGCACCTTGATATGGTCAATGTTTCTGGGGGACAACCCCTTGCTCCCCTACTGGCACCCCAACCCACTTCACACTCTCATCCTCTTTGACACCCCCAAAAGAATTTGAAAAAAAAATCACATTTTTCTTCTTGACTCATAACGCACAGGCGTACCAGATGGTTGCAAATTCGTTCCAAATACAACCAAATTTCAAAATTTTCCTGGGGGAGAACCCAGACCCCCCTGAATGCTCGGTTTTTTATTCACTCAACTCTTATTCCCGTGGTGGTGGCATACTACTTAGAAACTTACACTTTGAAACTGTAAAATTTTCTAGGGGGAGTGGACCACTCCTCACACCCCCCACAAAACAATCGGAATGTTTGGAAGTTGCATTTTGTTAGTTCCAAACCAATACAGGGAGTAACTGACCCCCCCCCCTCTGTCTTACGCGATTTGATTTACGCGGCAAAAAAATTGACAATTTTATATTCTCTTTAGTAAGCTAAAAACCGCACCCCCCTTGGAGAAAAGTGTCTTACGGGCCTGTCTAGGCACAAACGTTTTCTGTATCCCGAACGACCGAAGGGAGTAAGGGGTTCGAAAGCTTTAGTGCCTAGACCTAAGGGGTGTATTCGAAACTAGTAGCCCTGCTCTGAGGTCTATATTACGATTCAAACATGAAAACTCACCAGAATATTGCAAAATCGTCAATTTCGATGCTCGTTTCCACTTTTTTCATTTTTACTTCTGGTTGAGCGTTTGGCTGTTCCAATTTGTTTACTTACCTCCTTTTTTTATTGACATTTCGGCCTATTTTATTGGTTTCACGCATAGCTACTACATTGATTATTATTGAAATTATTGAGATTAGAGTTTACAAATGCTCTGACAGAAAATTTTGGCTCCGGACAATTTTTCCCTTTGAAGTTTGCAGATGAAAGGGGATGCGAAAAGAACAAAACGGCCTAAACCGACCAATGAGTGCACTGAACGAAACACTTAGTACAGAGCTGGGGAACTGATCCCTAATATAACCAAGCTGAAGCATTGACTTTGTTCACTGTTTATAGAAGGCATGAATACAGTCATGTTTGAATAATATATATCTCACGACCATCATGGATTTTGGATTGGCAAGGAGAACTAATTGGGGGGGAGGGGGGGGGGTTGATGCAAGGTCTATTACATTTGACACAAATTATTCCATATTTAGAGGGTGCTGTTGGACAAATTCATAACTGATACACCATAGCCTGCCCTAAGAATGGAGTTGGCATTATATAATTGTTTCCATATAAGGTCCATTTTGTGAAAAATACAACCTTTTTCATAATTGAATTACTTTACATCCTTGACTCATTACCCCCCCCCCCCCCCCCCCTTCAAATCTGGTAGTTTCTATTCAAATTTTGTAAAGAGAAGATAGGGAGTTGTGCTCTCATCATTTAGATTTAGAGAGATGAAGCAAATGTGATACAAGTTAAAGGTAGGCTTGTTACCAAATAGTTCAAGGTCAACACTCTAATTTCCCTTTTATCCAACCTTGTATAATATAAGATCATGTGCTTAAGTTAGGATTTGCACATGGGGTTTTAGCTGTTTAAAACATCTCCTTACCCCCACAAAGTGGCGGTGTGTTATGAAATCCTCCCCTCCCTCTTGCCCCTTTAAATCATAATGCAGTTTAAATTTCATTTACCAGTTTTATTTCCCTGTAGGCAGCCCATTTTCTGGCCAAGTCAAGCATCCTGGCACTGAGCTAATTAGTGTCTTTATAGAAATCAAGGGTCCTGCTTTAATGGTCCTAGTCTTCTATTTCAGATTCCTCATTGGATACAACTTTAAATTCAATTTTATAACTTTATCCCCCATATACCTTTTTTATCAATTCTTATTCAGCTGTTAATGCTTATAAAAACATTTAAAGAGGTACTTTTTGCAATTTGCATGGGGTATTTGCTTGTGATTAACTATTTGATGATTCAGACTTCAGATAAGTTACATGTACATTTTTATCACAATATGAAAAGTGCATCGTTGTCACCATCTTATGCTGATGAGTGTGTGTACATTTGTCTGGAAAACTGATTACCAATTTCATTAATAGGGAGTTTAAGCTTGCATAAAATAGAAATACCAACCTATACGTATGACCAATCACTCATACAAATGCATTGCTTAAATATTTTCCGTTCACATTTACACAGGAGTAGCATGATACATTTCACTAGATATCCTGAAATTTGGCCAAGATTGTTGATATATATAATTCGCACTGTAGTGCTTGTCATAGTAACTTGAGGTTGGGTTTCATTGAACAGATCATACCGTCACAATGTCATAACAAACCGCACACTGTATAAAATAAAACAACTATGGCCTTTTTATGGGATTGTTTGTGTTTCAGACATGTTGCTCCCCTGCCCCCCTTGCAACAGACCCCCTTGCCAAAATAGAGAGGGACTCTGTGGACTACAGCATACGCATCACAAAACAAATGGCAGAGTCAGGCAAAGGTAAATTGTTTTGGTTTTCACAGAGGAAACGGTTTTACTATGTCACCACCACTAGGTGTGTCTTTTTTGTGAATGGTGTTCGACATTCGGCAGTTTCTGTTTGATGTTTGGTGTTTGGCAGTCAGCATTTGGCATCTGTAACAAATGGCAGGTGTTGACATTTTAGGGTGTATATTCCTGCTCAAGGGTATGCTGTCAGTAAGAAGGAACTGTTAAATTGAGAACATTGCCCAGCTGTAGAACTTGACTTGTTCCTTATTTTGCTTGGTGGAGTTTATAACAGTGAATAATAAAACAAATATTTATATTGAGGTGAATATGTGTTCATCTTTCAGTGATTCTCTATGGTATGTTCATAATGTACACTTTCAACAGGACGCTCTGTAAGAATAAATAGTGATGCTGTAACATATATATGTTCATTTTCAGTGGGTTGCTCATTGAGAATATATGCAGATTATATATCTAGACTATGATATGTTTATAATTTATACTTTCATGAGAATGCTCAGTAAAAATAAATATGCTGTAACATATATATGTTCACTTTCAGTGGGTCACTCGGTGAGAATATATGTAGCTGGTATCTAGACTATGATATGTTTATAATTTATACTTTCAGGAGGTTGCTCTTAGTAAGAATATAATGTTGATCGTATATATGATATGTTCATAATTTTCACTTTATCGGGATGCTCTGTAAGAATAAATAGTGATGCTGTAACATATATGTTCACTTTCAGTGGGTCGCTCGGTGAGAATATATGCAGATTATATATCGAGACTATGATATGTTTATAATTCATACTTTCAGGAGGTTGCTCTTAGTTAGAATATATGTTGATCGTATATATGATATGTTCATAATTTTCACTTTCATGGAAATGCTCATTAAGAATAAATACTGATGCTGTATACAAATACGAGAAACCAACTGCATACATGTTTATTCTCACTGAGCAACCTGCTGAAAGTATATGTTAACTTTCAGTGGGTCGCTCGGTGAGAATATATGTAGATGGTATCTAGACTATATTGTATATAATTTTCATATGTGTTCACTTTCAGTGGGTCGCTCTGTGAGAATTTATGCAGCTGGTATCTAGACTATGATATGTACATAATTTCCACTTTCATGGGAATGCTCAGTAAGAATAATTAGTGATGCTTACATATACGTATTATATGTTCACTTTCAGCGGGTCGCTCTGTGAGAGTTTATGCTGATGGTATATATGACATGTTCCATTCGGGGCATGCTACACAGTTAATGCAATCTAAAGCAGTCTTCCCAAATGTGTATATAACATATATATGTTCACTTTCAGCGGGTCGCTCTGTGAGAGTTTATGCTGATGGTATATATGACATGTTCCATTCGGGGCATGCTAGACAGTTAATGCAATCTAAAGCAGTCTTCCCAAATGTGTATATAAACATATATATGTTCACTTCCAGCGGGTCGCTCAGTGAGAGTTTATGCTGATGGTATATATGACATGTTCCATTCAGGGCATGCTAGACAGTTAATGCAATCTAAAGCAGTCTTCCTAAATGTGTATATAAACATATATATGTTCACTTTCAGCGGGTCGCTCTGTGAGAGTTTATGCTGATGGTATATATGACATGTTCCATTCGGGGCATGCTAGACAGTTAATGCAAGCTAAGGCAGTCTTCCCAAATGTGTACCTCATTGTTGGAGGTAAGTCAAACACTCAAGCTTTGTTTTTAATGATAAGCACCTCATCTCAGTGAATAACATACACTGTATTATTGTGATTTCAAAAAGCACTGGGGTAATTAACTCATTGCTGACCAAAGCTATTTTTGGACGTTTTCTGCTGATGACTGGCACCCAACCATGTTCCCCTAGTAACCCAAAACAATATTTGATAAGATAATTGGGATAGATTATGTGACAATTATTGGACAACACCCCGAGATATCTCGGGGTTGGTCAGATACGATTATGAAGTCATAGATGAAATATCTCGGAGTTGGTCAGCAACGAGTTAACAGATAATCTCATTTATTTTAATCTGAGCCATGTACTTGTAGAACTCGATATACCTTTAATTATTTAGAACTCTGAAAAAATAGAATGTTCAGTGTGACCATTGTCAGGCCCGTAGCCAGCTTTTGCCAAGAGAGGGGTCACTTTTCAAAAATTTCCAGGTGGGTCACACTTTTGACAACTATGGCCGAAAAAATTGCCAAAATCACTTGCAAGGTGCCCAGAATGTTGAAAAACTGCATGATTTTAAAAGAATTTTTGGCTAGGGGGGATTGCTCGAATCCCCTAAACCCCACTCCCCCTGGCTACGGACAATATTGTTTGACGACAGGTAATTTTTTATGTGGCCCTGAAACAGTTTTCTTCATTCCCAATAGAAGTTGATATACAATAGATCTATACCTTACTTGACCCTGTGTAGATTTCAGTATGAAATGCATGACATGAAATATTTTTTTGATTAATTTTTTTTAGTTTGTAATGATGAGCTGACTCACGCCAGGAAAGGGCGTACAGTAATGAATGAGAAAGAGAGATACGAGGCACTAAGACATTGTAGATATGTAGATGAGGTTGTCACTGATGCTCCTTGGAGTCTTACTGATGAGTATCTCAATTACCACAAGGTACACATTTTTATTATCCCATCGGATGAAGTTTTACATGTGCCTACTTCTTATTACACTTTCTAATGACAATTTGGCTAGTGAGTGACCATTTTGAAAATAGTGCCCATTTTTATGTGTGTTGTTTTACGATTTTTGCTATAAATAAAAATGTAGTAGAAGGATTTTGAAATAAAGCAGCCGGGATTTGTGACATCTCAAAAATTTCCCAGCTTCTTTTTTTAATTTCTTTGATTAAAATCTTTTAAAGGCCAAAATAGATTTCATAAAACGGTACCTTCCTACCTTTTTCACCCAGCACATAAACAATAATATTGTAATCATTTTAGTGAAATAAGATCCTTGGAATTTCGCAACATATATATATATTATATTTTGCCTTGTTGAATTGTTGATGCCAAACTTGTGCCTTGTAACTGAACATGCCTCTTCAATATAATTGCAGATAGATTTTGTTGCCCATGACGACATTCCATATGGCGCTACAGACGCTGATGACGTATATTCTCACATTAAGGCACGCGGGATGTTTGTTGCCACACAGCGCACTGAGGGAATAAGTACGACTGATGTAATAGCCCGTATAATCAAAGATTACGATATGTATGTCCGAAGGAATCTAGAGAGAGGCTACACGGCTAAGGAACTGAATGTTAGCTATATGAGGGTATGTGGGAATAAGATTGCTTCAATTTAAAACATTCAATAGGGAAACAAAATTAAGTCCTTATTAGAGGAAGTGAGCACAGCTGTTGTATCAATATATCAAAATGCACTTTTTGATAAGCTAAATGTTCTGAAAGTGTACTACCAAATGTAGTTCTAATGTATTTTGCCAACTTTTGACATTATGCTATGATTTAGATCATTATCTAAATTGTTGAATTAATTAATTTTTTTATACTATCAAATCGAGACTACCTTTTAATGTACCAAAAAAATCGGTATGATGCATGGACAAGGAACTTTTTGTATTCATATTTTCAGGAGAAGAAGCTTCTCCTACAGGAGAAAGTTGACAAAGTGAAAGCCAAGAAGGATGAAATCATAGAGAAATGGACAGACAGGAGGGATGAGATGATTCAAGAGAATTTGTTGGCAATTTCCTTGTCATGTTAATGCCTTGTTGAATTCATATTTTCAGGAGAAGAAGCTTCTCCTGCAGGAGAAAGTTGACAAAGTGAAAGCCAAGAAGGATGAAATCATAGAGAAATGGACAGACAGGAGAGATGAGATGATTCAGAAATGGGAGGATAAATCAAGAGAATTTGTCGGCAATTTCCTTGACATGTTCAGTAGAGATGGAGCCATAGTATGAAATTTATTTTGTTATTGAATTTAGCTCACATTGTGACCCATGTGTGACCCATGTCTCAGTGAGCCTATGTGTGTGACCATGTCTGTGAGCCTATACATGTGACCCCATAGTGTTAGTGAGCCTATATTTGTGATTCTGTGAGCCTATACGTGTGACCCCATAGTGTTAGTGAGCCTATGTGTGTGACCATGTCTGTGAGCCTATGCGACTATGCATGTAACCCCATAGTGTAAGTGAGCCTATGCATGTGACCCCATAGTGTAAGTGAGCCTATGCGTGTGACCCCATAGTGTAAGTGAGCCAATGTGTGTGACCCCATGTCTGTGAGCCTATATTCGTGATTCTGTGAGCCTATGTTCATGATGTATTAGTGAGACTATCTGTGTGGCCCCATGTCTGTGAGCCCTTGGGACTTGATCTGTCCATCCATAACAGGGGGAGGCAGTCCTGGCCAAAAATTATTTCAAAATCATGAAATTTTCACTGTACTGAGGATTTTCCAAGTGGTTTTGTGCCAAAATTGTCAATTGTGAACCCCTTGGAATTTTTGAAAATTGGATTACCCTTGGGAAAAGCTGACTGTGGGCCTGCATCTGTTGGTTCATCTAATTAAACATTGTATTTTTTACATTCATAATAAGAGAGAATTTTTGTACAATAATCGTGATGTTCTTATACACAAAATAGAGTGTAAAGAGGATTTGGGAAGGTAATAAAGAGAAATATATATTAGATTAATAAACTTAACAATAATAGAGATCTGAAAAAAAAAAGATCTGACACTTCATTCAAATTTTAGAGAGAAATTCAATGAAATAAGCATGAGCAGACGGACAATTTCAGCAGACGGATTTCATTTTGTTTCAGAATCAATGGTGGAATGACAAGAAGGAAGCAGTAGTTCGTGCAATATCTCCCCCAGCAAGCCCTGGTTCCATGGATGACTCGGATGACAGCCCTCCTCCTCGCAAACGCTTTGCAGTAGCCACAGGATCAGACACACCTTAAAAGTGTGTGATATGTTTTGGGATGAACAAAGACAACTAGCCAATTTCAAATTATTAGCCAATGGATCAGACACATCTTAAATGATTAATATGTTTTGGGATAAACAAAGACGATAGGCCAATTTCAGATCATAGTAGCCAATGGATCAGACACACCTTAAATGAATGATTTCTTCCTGGATGGACAATAGGCCACTTTGAATTCAAAGTAGCCAATGGATCAGACAGACCTTAAATGAATATGAGTTTTGGGATGAACAAAGACAATAGGCCAATTTAAATCAATGGAGCAGATACATCTTAAATGAATGATTTCTTCCTGGCTGAACAAAGACAATAGGCCAATTTTAATTCATAGTAGCCAATGGATCAGATATACCTTAAATGAATGATTTCTCTCTGGATGAACTTATACATCAGGCCATCCCAGTAAATATCTCACAAAACTATTTTCTGGATTGTGACATTTCTGTAAAAATCTGTTCCACTTAGGAGGCGTTTCACTAATGCCTTGGTCACATTTGCTCCGATTTTCACTACGGCGCCTGGCCGATTGAGTATTTTGCTCAAAATTGAATACAATATTGAACGAAACACTCAATCGGTCGGGTGCCGGCCGATGGATCGGGGCAAATGTGACCCAGGCATAATAGAGGTTTGATTGATATTCAGAACCATGTTACATTTTATTTCACTATGAGTTAGAGTGTCCCTAGTCCTAATCAATTAATTTATATCATTTATACCGGGGCCAAATATTTATTTATAATCTTGTAAATAGAATATTATTATTTTCGTTCAAAGGGTCATGGAGAATAGAGCTAGAAATTTATGAAGATTTTACAAATTGTACTTATAAATGAAGGCATTGTGCAATTTTGGAGTAATACCCAAAATTTTGAAATTAGAATTTTTAATGTCGCAAACAAAAAGCAGTTGAAAATTGTCTTGATGCTGTGTGGCCAACAATTTGGGAATAGTGTAATTTCAAAGTCTGTACTGTAACAAAATGCTACATTTTTGTAGAAACATTTGCAGATGGTGACATTTTGCCATGTTTAAGCCTTGTCTCAACTTTCTAATTGGGCTATTTACTATGACCCTCTGTTATAAGTAAATTGGGGTTAATCTAAAGTTAAATGTGTGTTTAATCAAATAAATATAGCCACACGATACAGTGCAATGCAATATATGTACATGACAAGTCATTAACAGCTATTTAATTATAATTACCTGTAGGCCTTTTATGTTTTACTTATATCAACATTTTACAGATTGAGATATATATTAGAAAATGAAAAGTGAAAAATAGTGTAGGTGTTTTATTTAGTTCATTATGTCACCACCAGAAGCGGTGACTTACACTATTGTTATAGTCTCCAACTTTTTTTGTGGATGGCTGTTGGTTTTCGGCGTTCGACTTCTGTAACAAATGGCAGGAGGTGACATTTTGCATGTTAATGCCTTGCTTTAATTTATATTATGCTTCGGTTTACTTTAAAGGATACTAGGCTTATTGTATTCAAATTCTATCAATTAAGTGTAAAATTCACCCGATTTGAATGACTCAATGCGTCCACTTTTATATATAGGTTTTACTATATCATTAGGCAATGGGGGAATTATTGGGCAGAAAAGTGTTCCGTTTAAGGTATTGGATATGTTTATATAGACATTGTTATACTACAGTGTACAGTAGGGAGGCTGAGTGTATAGTATTCTCACATTTTAACAGGGTTGAATGCAGAAAAATATACACACCCTAAATAGTATTAGTTTCCATATAGCTTTTGAAATCTCGCTAAAAATTCTTTTAAATGGCACATTTGAATTCAGTGAAATGTTTTCTCCTATAATAGCTTTGATTTACACAGTTATGTAATTTGAATAACTTTCTATGACAATTTAAAAAAAACTTGGCCAAATATCCATAGATGCAATGCTAAAATTCTCTAAAACTTTCGATTATTTGTATGTCAATCAACATTTGCATGTTTAATTACAACATGTACATAAACAGGGCCATCATGTGGTGTATCATTCAAGTTTTATACAGATTCAACTAACACATTTTGATAAATCATGAAATTAAGCCACTTTTCCAAGATTTTAGCATGTAAGTGAATGGAACTCTAGCCCAAATTAAAAGCTGAATAAAAGATGGGAGCACTAGATTTCATTGATTTTTCTGCTATTCAGAAATTATCCCCTATTATATAGAAGTTATGAACATTGTAGACATGAATTTCAAGATTTTACCGAAGTGGACATTTCATAAATATTTATGATTAATACTTGATTTGTATTTTTATATGAATATAGAAGTATTCACAATATTTTAGGCATTGCTAGAAATACACAATATACAGTACACAATATTATTTGTGAATTGTAAATTTTCATTTCAAAACTCATGACTTGCATAAAAACTACTAGATTATATGTTATTCAACAATTCAAGTGAAATAAAGAAAAACATCATGCGTTTGATACATCTTACTGGGGCACTAGCATTTCCCAATTTTCCTAAAATCATTGAAACTGTTTTTATTATTCAATATCTTGCAAGGAGGATTAGCTCTCAGAATCGAAGTCGATATTTTCTAACAATGAAAGTGCCGAAATGTTGCTATTTTCTGAATATATTACGATTATAAATTCAAAATAAACAGTTCAAAAATTCCAAAATTCACGATTCTAATATTGAAGTGAACAAAATGGCGGCTGTTGGAATTCGAATTTTGTAGCACGACATCCCCATATCATGGGCTTTCAACTAGTTGAAAGCCCATGCCCATATATGGAACAGAATATCTATATACGGGACAGCATATCTATGTTGCACTCTGGGAGCCAATCCTCCTTTATGTCTTGCACAAACTCGTATATACGACTAAACATCAAGAATGTACAGAGACAAAATCTGCAGGTGTACACTTTAGCTGTACATTGTCATGTATGAAGCAAAAATTGTGATGTAGGTTTTAAAAGATTTATCTAAGGAATATGATGAAGTGTTTCATGTTTAATTTCTTGTGCATGCTCTTGACAAGACTTTTAATTTTCTAACTACGTTTATTGATTCTCGATCAGTTTTTCTAGGTCACCCACATAATTGACCGGCTCGAAAATGTTGGTTATATTCTCACGTGGACGTGGGTAGAATTACCTTAAAAATCGTGCTCACGTGAACATGACTAGTCATTAACAGCTATTTAATTATTATTAATTTTTTCATTAATTAATTATAAATGGCATACTACTCGACATTGCCCTTCAGATAAGATGATCTAGCACTTGATAAAACGCTCAAAATATAAATAGATTATCAATCTGAAGTCTTTAAAGTTGTTTACCAAGCCCAAAAAGTCAGACAACGATCCCTTAAAAATAAACTTACATATGGACTTGGGACTTATTGCTGCAGCGTCAAGAGTAGACCGAAGAAGGGAATGTGAAGCTGTCGAAACTCAATGCTAAAACATGTGAGTAATTAAAGAATATTAAACACAATTTCAACTCCACATACCTCAAAACAACATTCCTTTAATAGACTAGATGTGAGTAGAAATAATCTTGATTTACGTCATTAAAAATTCAAAATTCAGTCAAACTGATGTCATATTTGGAATGAACATTTAAAATTACATCCACAAATGTGGTTTGGAAATGAATTGATCAACTTTAAAAATGTGACTTTGAAAATGTGACTTGTAGGTCGGGGAGATTCCCCATAGACCCCATGTTGTAGAATCGCAAAACGTGAAATATCTTTTCTTGTGTTGGGCAGATATTTTTTTACTGGACACATTTTAATTTGTATAACTATCAGACACCCTTATGGTAATATGAAAAGTGAACCACTAAAACTGATGAATATTCACTGATTAAGGGAATTTTGTAATACCCTCACACCTGCCATGTGATTTCCCCCGAATCAGTCACCTGGTGGCGAAACTGGTTACTACCTACTCGCATCTGAGTAATTCAGTCGATTATTCAGTTAATTGATGAAGATTCACGATTTTTATATTTTTTTTCTAATATACCGGGTGTGGTTTTGTAACCTTTTTAATGACCATGTAGGTTATCGTAAACACACCGAGACAGTTATATCTTGGAGTATGACTCTTACTGACCATGCCGACGGGGATCTTTTAGATCCATTCATCATCTTAAGAAAAGTATATACAATAATGATTGAAACAATTGGTATTAAGGGTACAATGAAACCATCATCATACTTTTTCAATGACATTGACCGACCTAATGTTCACCCAAAAACAATCTTTTTTACAATGTTTAATGCAATACTATTCTTTATTCTAATGTATCGATTAGTTCTTGAAAGGAATTTAACTGAATCGCTCAAAGATTTTTGTTTCTGATATTATTTCTACTGAGAAAACTCATGCTACACTATCCATTGATTTCAGGTCATTTTGGTCATCCAGATTCAGTATCTTTAAAGTCCCTGGGAAATGCAACAGGTCTCATTGAAGCCAGGCCCGTAGCCAGGATTTCTCAAGGGGTCTTCACTTTACAAAAGAAATTCACTTTGGCAAAGGCCCGAAATCAAATGAAAATCGTCAGAATTGTGAAAACAGCATCGTTTTGAAATAATTTTTGGCCGGGGGGGGGGGGGGGTGCCAACCCCCTGGTTACGGGGCTGCTAGGCACATTCTAATTATTCATTAAACATTTTGGTAAACCGATGCCCAACTCAACAGCGCCGTTAACACGTCCCCCGTGGTATCGATGTCCGACAATACCGTCCTTAGTTCGTCCATATCTGTTTAAGTATGCCGCCATTTGATATTGTTGCAAAATGAAAATGGAATGGCCCCATAATTGTTTTGACCATCAAACTCTGAAACAGTTCAGCTAAATTTTAAGTGCTAATTTGTTGTGACTATAGGGGACTAAGTTTAATACAAATTCCAGACTCGATATTGCCTTTGATTTTAAGGACTTTACATGGATGACAAACTGTTCAAACAAAGACAAAATTCAAATCTAAATTAAGAGCTTAGTGAAAGACGATTTAGACGAAATAAACAGACCTCGATTTTGACCTGGACAATTTTTCAATTTATTAGAGTCTCTGATAAGCACGCTTTATCTAGGTAAAAACTATAAAGCTTAAAGAACCCATGTAACGTTTGAAAATATGTTTTTATCATTCATTTACTGTAAAGTAAGTTATTTTGAATATTTGGGAAAAAACAAAGGACATACGATTTCAATAATGAAATATCATATCTAATGTGCCACTTCAATCATATTAAAAATGCATCCTAAATGACCTCAGTCCTCATCGTGATGGTGCAACAGATCATTTTTTTCTCTTTCAATCTTGCTAAATGTGTTAAAAATTTAAAATAAAACAATGTTGATTGCCTAACTAAGTTGAAAAGTAGAATATATTATTTTTAAAATATTACTGTGCCATTGGTTTCTACGAGAACTACAATTTGGAAATGCATTTTTCTCTAAACCACTGCAATGATGAGTTAATTTCTCGCTTACTTATCAACCAATTTTTTCGACAAAAGACACATGAGGATGAATGTTAAGCATTGGTGTGGATTATCGCTAACATCCCAGTCATATTTCCTACTGCGACCATGCGTTCTATCATTTCTGCGACCAGTAACATTTCTACGCTCCCTGTAGAATTTCTGCAGTCGGGGCTTTTGCAGTCACATTTCCTACGGCAGCCACACGGCGAATTTCTGTCGATAAACGTTGTTTATTTATATTAACATTAAATAAGACTTCAAGTTAAGCCAGCCAAAGTGCTTTAAACTTTATATTGGGTCCTTGGTCAGAGTATTATGTTGATTAGTTTTAGATGTAACCCCACAGAAGAAGGATGGGGAACAACAGCAGCTCCCTCGGGGGTGCAGCAGATGAAGAGCTGTTGATACCTTCAGTTGGTCAGATTACACCAGGCACCGATGTAACCTCAACCCCAACGACTCTAGAAGGAATAAACGAGACACAAGTAGCAACAACAAATGCACCAGCTTCAGTCACCAAATCAAGAAGCAGATGGAAGATTTTAAATTGTTTTACAAACGCTCCATCTGAGAGTAAAGACATGTCCACCGACACAGAAGCTCTATTCGAGAGGAAAGAAATATCTACCGATACACAGTGTTTGCTAAAAACGGGAAATATATCGACAAACACAGAAGCTCCATTCGAGAGGAAAGAAACATCTACCGACACAGTCTGTTTGACAAAAACGGGAAATATATCGACAAACACAGAAGCTCAATTCGAGAGGAAAGAAACATCCACCGACACGGACTGTTTGATAAAAACGGGAAATATATCGACAAACACAGAAGCTCAATTCGAGAGGAAAGAAACATCCACCCACACGGTCTGTTTGATAAAAACGGGAAATATATCGACAAACACAGAAGCTCCATTCGAGAGGAAAGAAATGTCAACCGTCACAGACTGTTTGATAAAAACGGGAAATATATCGACAAACACAGAAGCTCCATTCGAGAGGAAAGAAATGTCTACCGACACGGACTGTTTGGCAAAAACGGAAAATATATCGACAAACACAGAAGCTCCATTCGAGAGGAAAGAAATGTCTACCGACACGGACTGTTTAATAAGAAAGGGAAACATATCGACAAACACAGAAGCTTCATTCGAGAGGAAAGAAATCTCAACCGACACAGACTGTTTGATAAAAATGGAAAATACATCGACAGATACAGAGAATCTACTTGATAAAAGAGAGATGTCCACTGACACTGGTAAATTAGTACAAAAATGGACTGAAACAGCTAGTGATTCATATGAAACCTTTCCTATGGGTCAAACTCAGGAAGGCAAAGAAAATGGACTGAAACTTGAGATCTTGAACAAACTTGAACAAGAAGAAAAAGAAATTACAAGCAATCTGAAGCAGCTGAATATCATTCAAAACGACTTTGAAGAAAGAAAATCAGTTTTGGAAGACCAGAGGAAAGAACAATCAAATAAGCACGTGATGGCATTGTGTGATATTGGTAACATCCACAGGTGGAGGGCTAAACTTACAGCGAGGAAACTAGAGTATGTGAAGAGTATTGCTCTGTTTGAATGTGCCGAAGTTCACCTTCAAGAATGTTCAAATGATGTTAAGAAGCAGGAATCTGAAAGAATAAAACAAGAAAGGAAGTTTACTTTGCGAGAATTCCTAAGCGGAAGTACAATGGCAACATTAGATGACAAAGTTCTACAGTTTGAGAAAGATAATAACACCAACAAAGATACTCTGAGAAAAATACGAGAAATTATGAAAACTAAACTTAGAAATTTAAACAGAGAGCATGGTGGATGTCCCATTGATCTGGATGAGGCACACAAAAAATTAGAAAAAGAGTACATAGAACAAGTCAGCGAAATCTTAAAATGGAATCACGGAGAAATAAAAAAGTTCATAGAATTGTTAGTGAACCAGAGTAGAAAAATGTTTGAATTTTACAATGATGACTTTGCTTTTATAGCATTTGGATCCTTCTCGAGAAAGGAAACAACACCATTTTCCGACGTAGAATTCGCAGTTGTCGTAAACACAAATGACTTTGGCATAGTTCCCGAGTATAAAGTACAGTTAATGAACATCATTATGTGTGTACACATCAAACTACTTATGCTTGGTGAAACAATTTTACCTGCTATGCACATTGACTCTCTCAAGGACTTGTATTACGATGACCGAACACACGTGTCCGTGAAGCAAGGAATGTCCTTTGATGGATTGATGCCACATGCGAATAAAACACCCTATTTTGAAGATCCTCAAAATGAATTCTCACTCACAGACACTAAGAAAGCATCCATGAGGTACTTTGAAGCCAATGGAAATTTGAGCAAAATACTCTACTTCTATAAGGGAGATTTTGAGATTCTATATGGTGACGATTCAGTTGCAGATGAGATGAAAGACCTCTTTAAAAAAGATGGGGTGAAACGCAATAAGATCATAGACGGAATAATGAAAGAGTTCAAGGGTGACTTGATGAAATATTCGTGCACTAAGAAGATCTATGATGCCAAGTTTAACGAACACCTGCTAACAGATATAGAACTCAGTGTCAAGAAGGAGCTGTACCGTCTCCCTAGTGTGGTTATCAACAACCTGCTTCATCTACTGGGAAGCAAGACAACCTGTATATGGGATGTAAAAGGAGTGAAAGGCCTGAGCGATGATAACCTACACAACCTTACAATGATCCTAGCGTTAGCTACAGAGTTCAGACTCAGGTGTTACGCAGAGAATAATGGCCAAGTGGACGAGGTCAAAGGACAGCTGTTTCCTGATGTATTCCTGAGCGAAAACAAAGAGAAATCGAAACAGTTCATCGAAGATTTGGTATTGCGCTACTACATGACAGCTATTCCCTTAGTTTCCAGTATCGAGCAACATAGTCACAAACGAGGGGAAACGGGCGTAACTAAAGAGCAGAAAGGAGAGGCATTGCTCAAGGCAGTAGGAACACAGCCCTTGTATGATGCATCACTTCTTAACCACGCAATGGCATATCTACTGATTGAAAAAGACGAGAAGGCAAAAGAGTACCTCGGTAAAGCCAATGCGGAATATCTCAAACAAGAAAATCCCGTGGATCACAATAAGCTTATTCTACAGATTCTCTTAAACATGTACATCAATGATGCAGACAACAGCAACGAATTCTTGAACCTCGGTCCACGTGTCATTGATACAAGTAACAGTGATGTAGTCAACACTCTCGGAAATGCATTAATACAGCGAGGTGAACCGCATGAAGCAGAAAAAGTATTGAAAGAGTGTGCAAACAAACATGGAACTGACGAGTGTTACAAGCTGCTGACAACAGCTCTAGTCAAAAATCGTAAGGGTGAAGAACTACAGAAGATTCTAACTGAAAAACCGGAACTTCAACTAAGAGAAGTAAGTTAAAGCAATGCCATCATAATTACACTTGATACTAAATTTCAAACCCTACAGATATTTAAACTTTGTACACGCAGAATTGTCTTAGGGGATCGATGGTATTTTGACATTGTGCTATAGTGTAAAAGGGTAGGAGATCCTATCAAATTATGGTCCTACTCTCATTTGATTTATGTGGTGACCTCTTTCCCTTATTATCTTATACACAATTAGGGCCAGTAAGGGTCGTTAAGAAGGGGGACAATATTCCCTGGGGGCCATGACCTCTTTCACAGTCACCGGTTCGTTGCGGAATTGAGCATTCACTGGAATTGAAATTACTTACCGGTTAACCGTTAACACCCGAAAAAAATGCTTTAATTTTTGGCTCACACAGTGAGCCTATGGGATCGACCAGGCGTCCGTCCGTCCGTTGGTCCGTCCGTCCGTCCGTCCGTCAACATTGGCCGCACAAATTAAAACTGCTATTCGAATTGAGACATATCCACATTCATTTTATGCATATCCATAATGCCTATTTGACTTATCATCGCCATTTCTCAAGTTCGCCCAGTTTCCGAGAAATTGCAGATTTTGACGTCAAAAAGTCAAATTTTCTGTAAATACAAGACACTTTGTTGAAATAAAACTTTCAAATAACTTTTAGTAGTTGCTGTATATGCAACTTATGTCCTCTGAATATTTCAAAGCTCTTGGAATTACAGTTTTTGGTTTTTACTCTATAAAATTTGACAAAAAGTAGGACTGTCATTTTCAAGAAACTTTCTCATGTATAAAGTCAATGGCAGGTTTTGTGATTGACAAGTTTCTCAAAGTTTGTCATATACTTGATCATTTCTTGCAATGAATTACATCATTACTAGATTTAAGCATTCCCTACATATTGCTCAATATATGTCAGCATCAAATTTTTACCGTTTTTGAGATATCTGACGTCAAAAAACAGAAAAATAAGTTGATTTTTCAACTTGCTTCAATTTGACCAAATCTTTTTTTGAAAATCATCTACAAGTTGCCAGGAGTTCAAATCTGACATTAGTTTTAGGATTTGACCTTTACTTGACCTTCAGTGACCTTCGAAAGGTCAAAAAGTTGATTTTTCAAATTGATTTTTGGATGTAAAATTTGGTCAGCTTAATCACAAAAGACCTTACTGAGCTCTGAATTAGTAAAATTTTCAAGGTCAAAGGTCATCAAACTAGGTCACACAACTGTGCTATCTAAGTTTCTCAAAGTTCGAGACTACAAATCCAAATCAATATTTTTGTTTGAAAGTCAGTATATACATTGTATATACAGCACAGGACCGTGGGTCCTTCATTAATTTCTCTCCTTCAATTCGCATTTCCATGGCTTTTCATGCTTAGATTCCCGATTATTACAGGATATAAATATTTACCCCCCCCCCCATAAGTTTGGCTACCTTAGCTTCCCCATTGAACTACGTGTTAAAGCCTCTTTACTTTTGAATTTTTATTTACTTAACCTGCGATGAAAATACTTAATAATTCTATTGACTGAAACGTATTTACAATACCTCCAATAGGTCGAAAATTGATGATAAATTTGATAAATTTTGGAAAATCGACATTCCCATGTTAACCAATGGAAAAAAGTAGGTTTGCCGCAAGTCATATGACAGAATATCCATCACTCCCAGTCCTTGCAAAAAAGACAAGTTAGGTAGGCAATTGAACTTTCCAACTATATTTAACAAAAAATTGATACCTTCAGGATTAGCAAGTTATAGGTCTTTAAAGTCAAAATTATTTTTCAAAAAACCTCTCCCATTGAAATAACACAGGAGGCGAAAAATGATTTCAAAAATGACTTTGAAGCTCTGTAAGTTTAGTATTCATCAAGTAAGCTGAACATTTAGTGTACAAAAAAGTAAGACAATTCAATTTTCTCGATAAAAATCTTTTTTGCTGAATCTTTTACTAAATAGATATCCAGATTTCTGATTTGCCCCGACCCCACCATTTCCCATTGGTAAACATAGGAATGACGATTTTCAAATGGGATGGTGAACCTCTCAAACCAGTCATCAAAGAATTCTGAAAATTTTACATATTGTCAATTTAATGGTTTTCTTTTGAATCGTAAGATTATAATTTGAAAAAGATATATATACTTTCATCTATATTGTTTTAGAAAACACATCAAACACTTGTTTTGTTCTTGGTATCATGTTTCCAGAGTGAAATGAAACATCTTTCCGAACCTCTCATTGGAACAAAACGACATAAACACATGTTTATTGTACAAAGGAAATTTTGGTTGATTTTAAAAAAGTATCTTGAAATAAAAGGTTTATCTTGATTTTTATCTATTTTGGGGTGATTTTGTTTTAATTTTTTGAATACTTTTTTAAAATCAACCAAAAAAGTCCTTTGTATAACCATAATGTTGAGAGGTCTAAAAACATGTTGTATATGCTATTTTGTTCCAACAAGGTTTGGAAAGACATTTTATTTCATTTTCAAGAATCGGTAGGAAGGAGCAAAAACAATTGCACTAAAAAACAAAAACATGTCAACAAAAACAGTTATATAAACTATTTCTAAATAATTTTCACATTAAATTGTTGTCAACCAGTCAACATTACATAAAATACCTTGTTTTTGTACTGAATGTTTTCAATGATTGGTTTAAGAGAAAAACATTGTTGAATTCAGTTCTCCATATCGATACCAATCCTTTATCATCAATTTTCACCGTATTGTAATCGAGGAAAAAAATTGGGAAAATTTGGAGGGATTGGGAATAAAGTCAAGTTACGTTTCCATGAATATTATAAGTTATTTCATTGCAGGTTAAGTGAATAAAAATTCAAACGTAAATAGACTTTCAAAAGTTTAATGTATTTCCACATGGGATTTTTCCACACTTTACACATCAATTCCCCATAACAAATTGAAAGAGGAAATATTTGGTATCATTAAAAACACAATGCAAGGTAGTAGATTTAGATTTGTACACTCCCCTCCATAAGTTTGGCAACCTTAGCTCCCCCATTGAACTACGTGTTAAAGCCTCTCTACCTTTGGATTTTTATTTACTTAACCTGCGATGAAAATACGTATAATATTGATGGAAACGTAATTTGACTTTATGGAGGGGAGTGTAAATGTCCATGTTAAGTGGTTTGGGAAGTTCAGGTTAAGGCTTGATTAGGGTTGTATTTAGTTTTCTCTTCAAAGTCACATTCAGACACCGAGAGAATACTCGGTGTTACTTTGTTATGCTTGATGTAATCGTTCACAAATGGTAAGGCCACGTGAGGCTGTATTCGGACTCGCTTGGTAGTTAATAGGGAGGTGAAGAAACACGTTCTAAATAACTTGTACGTGAACTTCAGAATAACGGTCATCTATAATACGGAAAATAATTGTAATTAGGTCCCTAGGGAAGGGAATTAAAATGTAACACGCACCTCGCGTATAGGTTCTCTTAAAAACGTGAAACTTAAGTTTTACTTAAATTATCTAGGTCACGGTAAGGTCATTTTAGTAACGGTTACCGGTATTAGTTTTGAGTACCGTTGCGACCTCTACACCGAAATATAGCCGGTTATTATGCCCACCCGATATATCACAGGGGCGGATCTAGGAATCAACAAGGAGGGGGGGGGGGGGGCAAATTTTCGGTCAGAGGAAAAAAAGTTCCGAAAAAATGTTTGGCCCCTAAAGCCCAAATTTTGAAAGTTTAAGGCCAATTTTCTTCAAAGCCCATTTTCTTCAAAATTGGGCCTGAAATTAAAAAAACAAGGCCTTACAAGGCCCAGTTATGAGGGGGTGGGGCCCCCAGCCCCCCCCCCCCAGATCCGCCAGTGTATCATTAGATATTTTGGATGAAAACCGATTTTAACTTTTGGGGAGCAGCACTAAGCAAGGAATTATTTTTATTTCTCTGAATCCAAAAAAGATGTTCAAAAGTTAATGAACAAGGCGCATCTTACAAATTTTAAATTGTTTAGTCCGCTTGTTTGGGATTTCAGGCTACATAGTATATCTTGCAATGCAACACTTTATTGCACGAAAAAACAAAAGAAAATTCTGTATGATTCAATAACGATTCTATAAAATATGACCAACAAGCATTACAATTAACAACTTTAATCAAAGAAGCTAAGTGTCAAAACGAAATAAATACTTTGGAATCAATGAAGACTTTGAGCAAAAATGATAAGAACTATTGGAAAATAATTAAATCTTTTCTCCGTAATAAGCATGTTAAATCTGATATCCCATCAATTATAGATGAAAATTCAAATCACCCACTCACTAGGAACTTAGATAAAGCTAATGCATTTTTGACTTTTTTTGCAAATAAGAATCATCTAGACGAAAATTACAATCACTTTTTGCCAGACTTTCCAATGAGAACAAACTCACTGCTGATTTCAGCTAAAACTGATCAGTTTGAAGTTATGAAGTTAATTTTGACTCTTGACCCTTCCAAAGCTTGTGGCCCAGATGAGATAACAAATAAAATGTTAAATTTAACTGCACACTCACTTTCTAAACCACTATCTGAACTTTTCAACAAACTAATGTCCAAGAATATTTTTCCTGAAACGTGGAAAATTGGCAGTGTATGTCCTATTTTTTAAAAAACAGGACAAATCCAAGATTAGTAACTACAGACCCATAACATTACTCTATACATTATCAAAATTGTTTGAGAAAATTATAGCTGACCGAATCAAAAAACACTTAATTTCAAATGATCTTTTGTTCAAGTATCAGTCTGGCTTTCTACCAGGCCATAGCACTCATTCTCAGCTAATGGCAATTGAACATTTTTTTAATTTACCAATTTTGACCAAGGCAAAGCCTCTAAAACCATTTTTCTTGACATTGCAGCTGCTTTTGACCGTGTTTCGCATAAATTACTTCTACACAAACTAAGGGCCTACGGTATTCATGGACAACTTCTAAATTTATTAGAATCATATCTGACAAATAGGCGTTTTTTGTAAACATTGCTGGTGAGTCATCAGTAACAACTGAAGCAGGCTTCCTAAACTGTTGCGTGCCACAGGGATCAATTTTAGGCCCACTTCTATTTATTTTATACATTAATGACCTTCCTGATAATGTAAACTCCAAATGCTATATCTATGCAGATGACACATCTCTGCATTTTATTTTTGACCCCAAAAAGCCCCAAGAAATTAATGAACAAGTTAAATCTGATCTAACTGAGATAGAAAATTGGTCCAAATTGTGGAAATTACAATTTAAACCAGAAAAGAGCTGTGAAGTTATTTTCTATGGAGTTAGAGCAAATCCTGAAGATGTAAGCAAATCCTTTCTAAGTGACTCTGAAATTGAAAGAACAAATGTACATAAACACCTTGGATATACTTTTGATCATAATCTGACCAATCAAAACCATATTGAAGAAATATATAATAAAGTTAGGAAAATGATTAATCCCCTGAAGAACCTTAAAACAAAGTTAGACTCAAGAGATCTGGAAACGCTTTTCAACTCATTTATAAGACCTCATTTTGATTATGGTACTGCTATTTTTAACACTGCATCAAAATATTTTCTAAATAGACTTGATCAAATTTATTATCAGGCTGCTCTTTTGTGCTCTGGTTGTCTTCATGGCAGTAATACTGATAAAGTTTTGAATCTCCTTCAATGGCCTTCTCTAGACACAAGAAGAAAAATGCAAATTAACAACTTTATGTTTAAAGTTGTAAATGGTCCAAATCCACTCTTTTTAGATGAAATTTTTGATAAATTCAAAAATCAGGGAACACGCAATCTGCGTGATAGATCTGACTTTAATTTACCAACCAGGTGCTCAAAGAGGTTCTTGAATTCATCAGTTCCATCAGCAATATCAAACTGGTCACGACTACCAAAACGATTACGTAATTTGAAAACTCTCCAATCCTTTAAAAAACACCAAAATATTTTGTTTAAAAACCAATAAAGTTTTATTAGCACCTCCAAACTCAATCTAAAAAGATCTCATGAAATTTTGATTAACCAATATAGAGCTGATCTTCTTTTCAAAGCCCAACTTTATGCTCACAACTTTACTTATGTTGAGAATCCAAACTGCAAATGTGGAGCCCCCCAGACAGAAAAACACTTCTTCTTTCAGTGTCCCCTTATTAAAGAAAATATAACAAAATTAAAAACTGATATTATTAATATAACTGGACTATCAGATAATCATTTAACTCAGAATGATCTCCTTTACTTAATGAAACATGGCTCTGACAATATTTCCCTTGATCTAAATTCACATCTCCAAACCTCAATCGCTGAATTCATTGAAATGAACCTATAACGTTTTCCCCTCCCTACATACCTTACAGAAAACTATACTTTATTTTATATTATCCACACTTAATATTTCCACCCCATGGCCAACCACAAGTGCAGAGTGAACCCCTTGACCTAATCATAATTTAAGTATTTTGTGCTATTAATGTACCCTTCTATAATGCCTTCGGGCGACTGAAGGGATTTATATTATACTATGATATTTTTATGAAGCAATAAATATTTCTTAATAAAAAAAATAAAAAAATAAACGATTCTATGGAACCTTATTAGCTATTTCTCATAGTACTTACAGTATTGAATGCATAAAATTAATTAAAAATAAAAATATTTTCTGGAACGAATTATTATGACTGGTGCATTTCATTTATCTCATTTGAAATAGCATTTTATAAATCAAAGTAATCGATGGCTTTTTTGATAACATATAATAATAAACATAACACATAACATTTCACAGACAGATATTACACATATTTGCTTCAAATTGTTTGATATTTATTTTGCAGAGATTAAAGGATGATATAGATGCGGTTATAACACAGTGGCAGCAGCAGCAGCAGCAGATAGAAGTATTGCGGAAATACAAACCAAAGACAATACAAAGAGAAGGGTTTTCTGGCTACCCCCAAATTCACTCCCTGGCTGCTGCAGGTACTACTGGTATAGTGATGATTGTGTTGTCAGGGTATAACAACTATAAAGCAATCCTCTGCAACAAACAACTCAAAGAGATGAAAACACTGAACACAACTGGTAATCCATATCGAGTGATATCAAGCCCTGATGGTCTGGGTGTGGCAGTACTGTGTGAGAGAGATGATAACACTTGGATTGTGCAGGTGTTTAACACATCAGGGGACCACAAGCGAGACATACCATTACCAGATACAATCAAACCTAAAGCTATTGCAGTGAATAGTATTGGTCAGATGGTGATTGCGGATGGCACCAATGGGTCCTTAGTGTTCATCAACTGGCAGTCTGGGAAGGTAGAACACACCACACCATCTGGATTGTTCACACCATCTGGATTGACCGACCGAGGCTACAAGACATGCACCAGTGGTTACTACCCATTCATAGCTGTGACTAAACAGGATCACATCACAATATCCAACCGTGACACTAATATCATCAGATGTGTAGACAGTCATGGTGAGGAAGTGTTCACATACAGTGGTGAGGGTAAGAATGCACTGAATCGTCCCCGTGGTGTGTGTGTAGACACACTGGGGAATATCCTAGTAGCTGACTTTGGTAACAACAGAGTGCAATTACTCTCACCCGATGGCACCTTCATCAGACACGTACTGTCAGAAAGTGATGGGTTGAAGTGGCCATGGTCTCTCGCAATGGACACAGAGGACAACCTGCTAATAGGAACAGGGCTTCCCCCTTTCATAGTTGTTATAGGAGAATTGCCTCAACCTGAAGCATTTATAGTGAAATATAAGCCGTAGATCTGGTTTCTAGTAGGTAAGTCATCATAGAATTAGAATAAATCATATGAATACACCTATTTTCGTATTGATAAAATGAACATGTCAACCAATAACCATGAATAGAGAAAAAATAAGGAAAGCATGCGAGGTACTAGTCACTATTTCATTTGTATGGTGAAAGCTATCAATTTTACAATCAAAATTCGCAAACTAAAATCGAAACTGTGAAATATAAGACTTTCTTATGACAACATCAGAAAAATAGAATAAAATACATTTGCATGTAAGTACATGTAATCCGTCAAATATATATCTAAATAAACAAGCATATATTCTAGACGTTATACAATGAAGTATCCAGAATCTTGATTCTAATATATTAGACTATATGTCTCATTATAAGACTAAGAAACAATCTTTAAAATCGAAACTGGTACTCTGTATTTACAAGGCATACATGAGTTCTTCTATTTATTATGACATTTTGCGACTAAAATATCTGTGTTGAATAAGATAAAAAGGATTTAAAGCAAATGTAATATCTTATTGTAAGATTGATAAGCAAATAGGCAGAGAAAAAAGGTGGGAAATTATGGGTACTAGATTAGATTAGTCTAGTGTGGTTAGATGCCTTAAAAAAGAATATGATGGAAAATTGTGTGATTTCTATGATATTATGAATATTGCATATGTTAATGCATGGGCTTTCAACTAGAAGGGTATGCAACTCTATGTAATAACATGAGACCTTCAAAATGAGCAATGACATGCTTCCCTTTTATGACAATATTTCAAAAAGTATTAGATAAATGTATATGTTTTAGTATTATCTTGAATAAAAATCAATTTTTAATATGATTTAAGCATAAAATATATTCAATATCATATAAAAGTAAACAAAAGAGACCAATAAGAATAAGAGTTATCAAGATGTTCTCTTTGAGTATTGCATTGTGGGTAATTATTCAAGAACACATTCCAATAAAAACATAATTTGTGGGAGAATGTTCACTTTCTGTATTGTCATAATTATGATGAATTCCAATTTTTATTATATTATCAAGATGTATGTAGAAGATCATGTTTTTATTTTTGAGTTATTTCTTTTAATCATCAATAAAAAGTACAAAATAAGATTTTCTTGGAATGTGTACATTCTCCAATTTTGAAAACACATGGCAATGTTTATGTATGAAATATGGGAAGTTGCCTACCCTTCTAGTTGAAAGCCCATGGTTAATGTAACTGCTTTCAAATGTTTTCTATGAATAAAAAAGTAATAAAAATAAAAAAAAGATAAAACGCAATGACTACCGAATCAATAAACTCAAAGAGCGACACAAGAAAGACATCAAATGAAATAAATAAAACATTAAATTAATTGAGAATAACAAATATACATTTCTCCCTTATAATCCAGACGGTGTAATTATAATTCGTAATGAATATTGCCCTTTATCGAAAGAGGAAAAAAACAAAAAAAAAACACCTGAATGATTTAATACATTTGAACATCTATAGACTACCAACAGGCAGCTCATTCACATGTTCCATTTTCCAATTTTTTAAAAGATCTGTCAAAATTGGCAATAAGCCAGACCTTGATGAGTCAATCTAGTAAAAAAATCCTTGAATTTGCCCTACAGTCTGTAACACTGCTTCAAAGGCAAGCATTTAAACCTGAAACATAAGAAATCTAAATAATATTGTGCAATAATATATAGAAAAATATATTCATATTGCACACAAAAGACATTTGTATATGTTGGATTGCTTGTTAATTGGCTCATAAAGTCTGTAACCTCTTATATTTTGATGCTTCTCTACCATGTTAATTTTCAAAAAAATAACATGGCGGACAGACCTCAAATTACAAGAGGGCACAGGCTTATTGCACTTAACACTAAATAATCTGAAATATACAAATGTCATTCGTGTGCAATATGAATATATTTTTCTATATATTATGGCACAATGGTTTATAGATTTCTTATTTTTCAGGTTCAACTGCTTGTCTTTGAAGCAGTGTAACAGACTGTAGAGTGAACAATTCGATGTTCACGGCAAGGGAGGATTGGCTCCCAGAATGCAACATCGATGTTCTTCCCCATACATGGTAGCGTGACCTTAACCTTATTTACACGCACGCGACAGGTTTTAAAAACGCGGAACTGCATGTCACGTGTAAATAAGGTAAAACGTCACGATACCACATATGACGAAAATATTGATGTTGCATTCTGGGAGCCAATCCTCCTTGGTTCACGGCTGTTAACAACTCAGGGGGTATCTCATCTTTATTGTCGAAGTTTCATTTAATATTGATTAACGTGTTAAGAAAATCCCCCTTATCCATGACGTCAATTATCAAGACACCTCCATGTTGACGTGACGAGCAGATGCAATTTTATACTTTAACATGAATGATTAAAAGGTTAACGACTATAGCTATGAATTTATTATTTTAAGGGTTTTGGGTTTCGAAAACATAAGCAGACATCATGCATTTTAAGCAGATATATATATTTTTCATTTCAAAATCAATGGGGAAAACATGAGAATGCTGAAGATATATTTTCCCCAGCAAGACTTGGTTCTATGGATGACTCTGCGTTAACATTTAAAGCAATTATTCCTTTAATGATTCTTATTCATATAAGTCGGTGTATAAGAAACCTATTGAATGAATGGTTGGTTATATTTGTGACGACCGGCGATCAAAAGGTGGTAAACCCTTGGTCTTTTCCGATCGCCGGGCGTCATATTTAACCCCTCCGTTTATATTTTAAGTTAGTAAGTTGTAGTTTAGTGTACATATTTACCTTATATTTGCCTTTTTACTCTCATATTTCAAATATTTAGATTTACTTTGTTTTGACGGCCATGTTGGAAATGGCGAATTAAGTATTTTACTTTTCCAGTATTTCCGGCATGGTCTTTTCCGTATTTTGTATCTTTCAATCATTATTTTGTAACTTTTATTCAACTTGTATTTTATGTAGACACTTGTTGTCGATTGTCATTTCACTTTTTATTTTATTGCTATTGATTAAATTAATAATTTCGTTTTACTTTTCGCATTCAGTAAGTTTGTCATTTTAATCCATTTTCAAGCGACCTGTACACTCAGTACAGGTGCGCACGCAATTTTATTACTTCGAACTTACTTTCCCAGACGACTCTATTCAGACTCTCTGAATAGACGATTAGTTGTAGTTTGTAGAATAGTACCAAGTAGTAATTAGTTTTAGATTATCCCGTTGGATCAAAGGGATGATTTGTAGATTATCCCTAGTTAGAATAATCATCCCTTTGTTTAGTGTCTGGCTGAATGGTCAGGTACTACACTAGACTATGGTAATCTGGTTGCCCATCGTATATATTCTGTCTGGTTCCTTTGGTCATCATTGTACGCCTTTGACAGTCACTTGAACGTTTATACTTATCTTCCTACTTTTAACATTTAGCTTATTTGAATTTAACTTGAAATCAACACTTGGGAATAAATTGCTGTTTTGCCGTCTTGCTATGATGTCTGACCAGAGAGAACCAGAACAGTGGGTAAGCCAGACTAACATATTCTAGTGCCAACAAACCTCATTTGTAACATTGTATTTGTGTTTATTATCTTTGAGATTTAATTTACAATAGATTGATTTGAAACTTTATTTTATTTGTTTCTCGTTTTGTAATATAGTATCACACATTTGTATTTATCAGTACACCTCATATTCATTAAACTTTAGTTCCCTTTCATATAATTCCACGTTCACGCTACCATTTATTTAAATTTACTTATTCCAATTTGCTTTCCAAATTTCCACGCTACCATTCATTGTTGTTGTATTTATTTCATTTGCCCCCATATTTACTGGTCACACTACCAACTGTTAATTATTTATTTCCGCCATTAACTGACGGCCCTGATTTTGTTTTTTAGTTAAACTTCCCCTTTGTTATTATTTAACTATTACCCCAGGGTCCTTACAAATGGTGCCAAGCGGTGGTATATAATACTTTGAAAGTGTTGACACATGCCTCAAACTTTATTTTTATTTAGTGTTAACTTTTAGCTTTGTTTGTTTGTTTCTAACATTACCAATTTTCAGCACAAATACATGCCCAATTACAAAACAGTCACTATGAGTATTTCCTCTGCTGCCCAACAAGCCCCATTGCCCACGTCTAGGTCAGACTGTTCATTTAATGACCCTGAAATTGTCCCAGGTCATCGTGCCCTTGATGACCAGGACATGAAATTTGCCATGGCAGACACCTTACCCTTACCAGATACTTCCAGGCACTCTGAGCGCACAGCCCAGCGTTCGATGCCTGGTGTATCGCCAAAGCCACCAAGATCTGCCTCACCTAGTGGCTACATAAATAAATTTAAAATTGAACCCGATCAAACGCTTTGGCAAAGTCCTTCAAAATATTGCCCCCCTATTCATTCAGGGTATAATCCTTTTTCTACGCCTGCTTGGGAAAATTCAGCATGGGGAGAGCCTTCCCAAGCTCCTCCTTCAATGCTGACTAAGCCTGGGAGGGACTATGCAAGGGGTGAGCCTCCCAACGCTCCCCCAAGCCCATTACGTCATGGGGAAATATATCCCAGGGGTGAGCTCTCCCAAGCTCCCCCAAGCCCATTATACCCTGGGGAAGGCAACGCCAGGGGTGAGCTCTCTAGAGCTCCCTCTAGCCAAAGGCACTTTGTTGGGGAATTTGCAGGGGATGAGCTCTCCCAAGCTCCCCCAAGCCCATTACATCGTGGGGAAATATATCCCAGGGGCGAGTTTTCCCGAGCTCCCCCAAGCCCAATATACCATGAGGGAAACATTGCCAGGGGTGAGCTCTCTAGAGCTCCCCCTAGCCAAAGGCATTCTGTTGGGGATTTTGCAGGGGCCGAGCTCTCCCAAGCTCCCCCAAGCCCATTACATCGTGGGGAAATATATCCCAGGGGCGAGCTCTCCCGAGCTCCCCCAAGCCCAATTTACCCTGGGGAAGGCAACGCCAGGGGT